CAAAATTGTTTTTTCCATGGCCAAAGAATGACGATGTGCTATCACACCCAGTAAATGCATGGAAAACAGAGAGACATTCAGATTTGGTAGGTCCAAGAGCTCTTGCCATCTCATGAGCAGACAAATACCTATAGTTTTTCCCAGTTCCAAATGCAACCCATATGCGAATACCGAGTTGGACAGAGGCAGCTACAGCAAGGACAACTATATCAGTATCATTGCTTCTGATAAGTATTCTGGCAAACCCTCTTCTAGCCATAAGGGCAATGTGGACAAACATTTTGGTATCTGCTTCTTCATGAGAACATGGCTCCAAGTCATTTGTATCACTACTAGCAGGATTGCAAATCACCTTCTCACCAATTGTGGTCACAATCTGTTTATATGCATCTAATGGAAGACTTGATAGTTTGTAGGCTAAAATACCAAACAACTCTTGCTTGTTGGAGTCATCTCTCAAGTAAGACTGCCAGTTTCTGGGCACAGTGTTACAAAGATCCTTCTGTCACCCTTCCCACGCTTGTTTCGTCATCGTCTTTAGGCTCCTTGTCAGGTACTCATCCCAAAAATATATCGAGGCGATCAACATGTTGCAGCTGACCTTGGATGTAGGGAAGGAAAACATTAGTGGCATAATCCTCAAAGGTCTTTGCTGTAGTTAGTTTTAGAAGGTGTACTGAACATGCACCATCTATTATTTCAGCAACAACAGGCCTATCTTTTTCCCTAGGGACAATATCCTCCATGCAGTCAAGTAGCTCTGATTTGTCACCATTTCTGAGGACACCATACTTTGCCAGTGAAGGTGGATACTCCTGGTTCTCATGCATGAGAAAGTCATCAAGATCAATGTTTCTTGTCTGGCATGTGATGTATAATTTGGAGAACAAATCACAGTCATTTCTCATTTTCTTGATTTGAGATTTCTGATTTGATCTTTTGGGTATTTTGCTGCTATTATTATGGGTGTATCCAATGGTTCAGTTCTCTCCACAAGACGTTCAGTTGTATACTTAGTGAAGCTTTGGTTGCCAATGTCTTCTATACTTCTGATGGTGTCACTTACTGATACATATAACATCCTTTGTGTCAAAAGTAAATACATCTTCACCTGACACAAGGAATGGATTGCCTAGTTTATCAATAGTAGTCACAACAGCAAATACATCATCTCTAAATTTCTTCAAACTCTTTGATGATCTGGAATATTGCAGGACCAGCTATCATCCATCGTTTCAGTGCAGTAGGATTCTCTGTTATCCCTATAGCCCCACCAGAACCCTTAATCAGAGCATTATTTGCTCATGGGCCTGGTCTATAGGGATGGTTGAGAATGACCTAGCTGTCTTCTGAACTGTAAAGAGACCTTCATTGAAACGCTGATACAGGTCAGGGTGAGTTGTCTCCAATTGGACCATGTCCCTTAGGTGTATTGGGAGCCATCTGGAATAGTGTATATGATCTAATGCAAAAAACCAGGGCATCATCTTGGTCAATACAGATATGTAGAGTTTAAAGTCTGCCTCTCTCAGGGATCTAACAAAGATCATAAGCAGCATTTCAAGGCGCTGTGTTATAGCCCAGTATTTGAAACGGGGGGATCGGAATTGTCGTCCCCTTCCCTTTTCCATTCTTCAAAGGATAGGGGGGCTACATCACTGAGTTCGGCAGCAGCTAGGTATATGTTGAAAGCTTTCTTCATTAGGATGTGGAGTGCTGCCAACGTAATTTGACGTGCTCTTCGAGTCTTGGTTATATGGCTTCCCTTTAGGAAGGACTCTGCAGTACCAACTGATGCTGTATTTGACTGAGCAATTACATTTACCCAACTGCTGTCTGTCAGCCAATCACATTCTGGAATATCATTTCTATATGGAGACCTCCAAACATGATCAAGTATTTATCTTCCCCATGTGTATCAGGGTATATCTATTGAATGGTTTTCAGGGAAGCAAACAATGGTTGGTCAGCAGCAAAAACTAGTATTTGACTAGGATTTACTATATGTATGTCACGTTTGACTATGTACATACCATGTTTTAACATGGCTAGAGATTTTTTCCAAAAGAAAATATATTTAAAATGCCTTCAGTGCAGAGTCTATCCAGCATTTATTCTCAATCATATGTGTGACTCTCATATTGATATGTATAATTATGAGTAATTCAATAAAAGCTTATAAAATAGTACAAGGCTTAATACTGAGCCTTGCTGAACACCCGTTTTAATAGCTAAATATATTGTAAAGCAGTTCCTATATCACAAGCAACTGTCTAGAATTCCCTTAAACAAATACAATTGGTTTAGAGCTAAAATACAACATTAATTCAAAGATAAATCAAATTTCTTGAAAATCTATATGTATTGGCGGCCATCTTGGATTTTTTTTCAGAAAGAGGCTCCGGATCACTTGCTGCCTCGAGCCAATTTTTTTCAATTGCCTTCAGTTACACTTGTACCAATTTTGGTGCTTCTATCATAAAAAGAATTATCGTAAGGTGATTAGGCTTAGCTATCAGGGAACAATTTCCTCTTTAGTTTTTCCCTGATCTCTTTTTTCGACATATCTCTGCTTTCATATTTTTTCTCCAGTCTGTTTATTTCATCTGACATATCTCTGATCACTGAACTTTTCATTTCTGAAAATGTAGGATTGCTGACATCATCTTCCTCATGTCGCATTTTCTTGTGGGGAACTACTTCATCTTTGCAGTTGTCCTTGTGCCTTTCTACATCAGTGGGAGACATCATCACCACTCCACAATCACCACAATGAGGAAGTTTCTGAAGCAGATTTTGCCATGGCCATGTTTCTGCGTTAATGTTGAACTGGTGCGTTGGAGCTTTTTTTGCAGTGTTTACATCCATGGTAAATTGATGAATGGATTGAGAATTTTCTAAACTGTTCACTCTATTTATAGTTGTTGGATCTGATGGATGTACTGGTTCATCACGTGATAGATAGTAGTTTGCCGAAGGTGCGATTTGAACAGGATCTTCAAAATGATTGGTTGAATTTTCCTGAATTGGAAAACAACCTGCATGCACCAGTCTCTTTTCGTCAGGTGTTTGTTGCTTCAAATCAATGAGCAGGTAACCAAAAGGCTTTGCAGTTGCACGCCTGAATGATGTCAGAAGTTTTGTTGCATGACCAGGGTACATTTGTTGGGCTAATACATTCACTTGACTCTGATCTCTCGGATTCTTAAATAAGACAATGTAGTGTGTATTAATACTCATTGTGCGACTTTCCCTCCCATGAGGGAACAAATTTTGAAGGATACAAATTACACTCAGATTCCTGTGGTGTGATCCTCGGGTGAAAAGTTCTGATACTCGTTTGTCTTTGGTCGCATCAGCCATCATGTCATCGATGATAATGAGATTATTCATTGAGGGATCCATCTCTCCAAAATCTTCAGGCAATCCCATAACAAAGTCTACATGGGGATATTTGGTTTTGATTTCTACATACAGAGGCTGCCATTGTCCAAAGTACCATACAGTCCGCTGAGGAGAAGGCTGGATTACTTTATCAGCCTTCTGAATAATCTCATTTACAAGCGACGACTTGCCCGAACCTGTTGGTCCCACAATCATCATGGTGAATGGATGTATCAGTTTCATTTCTGATGGGAGTTGTGGATGACTAATTGTCGGTCTCTCAACTCCATTTGATTGTTTGGATGTTGTCCTACATGAAGAGGTTGCCATATGCCTCTTCAAGTTGTCCTCACTAGAAAAAGTTGCTGAACACAAGGAACAACAAAACATGTCGACACCTGTACTGCATCTGTACTAATGCCAAAATAACTTTATTTACTATATTATAAGTCCCAATATTTAGCGTTTACTCCATCTAGCGTCAGTTAAATTAATGTCATAAAAGACATTCTTCTTATGAACTTCTCCTCCTCCTCCTCCTCCTCCTCCTCCTTCAACAAACATGTCAGGTAAATAGAAGTATAAACAAAGTCTTGAACAATGGACATTGACCTCCTCCTCCTCCCACGTATTATCTGTGACAGTCCAGCTAGTTTATCCTTTCATTAGTCAGCACGCGAGATAAATCAAAAGAAAGAAATGCAACTGGTCGATAGGTGGCGACGACATTTATAGAGTGAGTCCTACCGGTTAACATTTGGGGAACGATAACGAGACGCTAAGTAGAATTCGGCGGACGGGGGCCCGGAGGGCCCCGTCCGCCGAATAACGGTTTCGGAGCCACCCGGTGAAGGGTGACGTAGTTCGCGCGCGCTAGTCTACGGGGTCACGGGGGGTACCCCGTGTATCGCTATTCGTAGCCCCGGAATCGCTAATTCGCGGTCTCATTCTTCGATAATAGATATCTCTTAAAGATCGGAAGAACGCAAAGGGCAAAGTACACCCCGTATAAGTAAATCATACTCTCCCGTATACTTTTCGCTATCTGGAAGTAAATACGATAAATAGCTCGGAAGAGTCCGGGTAAATCATCGAAAAGCACGAGTAAATAATATAGATAAATATCCCGCGATATTTATCTTTATTATTTACTTATAGATAATTATTAACGCGAGGTAAATGAAACGAAGATCCGATATAACAGATCGGTGCAGATTATTTACTTAGTTTATTGACTAACATCGCCTATTTATCTCTATTATTTACCTCCGACGGTCTCGGGTAGATCTCGTTACAGGGTGACGCAAAAATAACATCCACCTTACATTATATTACTCTGTCTATTAACGTATAGACTCGTCCTATATAACATAATTCCTACTGTCTACTTGTCCTATATGACATCCATTCTGCGTTACCAGTTTATAGCGTAACATAAGTCGATGCTGAGTCGAATCAACCAGCTGAGAAAATCACTGTTTTGACATTTTTTGTGTCACCCTGTACCTCAGCAAAAAATTTTCCCTCAGCATTTCCTTCTTTGTTTTTTTATATAGAGATAGCGCCCCAATATATACTACTCAGAGACAGTTAAATGTATATGAAATTGAATTTACCTCACAAAGGGCCAGGGCAGAGTAGGGTGTTTCCTCAGCAGGTTTCACAACCACGGTACACCCAGCAGCAATGGCAGCTGCAGCCTTACGTGTTATCATTGCACTTGGAAAATTCCACTGAAAATATCACAAGAAAATACTTCAATGACTAAGGTAGCATTCCATAATTCAACCGCCTACTGACGGATTAACCCACTATTTTATGGATAAACTCATGAATAGTACTCCACTCAAGCATATTTAAATGAGTTGGCCATAAAACAGCAGTTTAATCAAGCTTAAAGGTGCGACATAAGATTAGAGCGAGTTGAGAGATGTCTCCTCACATTTGTCACTCCCTGTTCTCTGTTGCCACTTTAAGGTAATGCAATGTGACTTTTATGGTTGATGCTACAGATGGTGCAACTGTTGGTACAAGGTCAATTGCTGAAATTGTAACTAAGATGGAAAGCTAATAACAATAACACTTCGATGAGGAAATATTTTCCTTATTTACTGAATCTTACCCTCTGGAGCTAAACTTATTTTTACTCAATTATTTTACGGAAAGGGCACACAAGTGATCTTCAAAATAGTATGTAAGAGCTATTGCTCTACTCAACTGAGTAGTTACATTTCAGTAAATTAAGCTTCATGAATGTATTTAGCAATTTTAATCAATTGACACCATAGCTCTAACCTTTTAGGTGTATGTTTTCAACAAGATCAATCACATCTTTTGAATACATCTTTTTGTGATCATGCACATATTGTTTGAATATACTACCATTTACAATTTTCTACACCTCTTCGAAATATTTGCCTGAACATATCAAACTTCTAACTTACTGGAGTTATCATAGTGGCGACCCCTACTGGTTGTTTAATTGCTATGAGTCTCTTACTAGCCGCAGGTGTAGGAATGACATCACCATAGTGTCGACGTGCCTCTTCAGCATACCATTCCACAAATCCTGCGGCATAACCAATCTCACCCTTTGCTTCTGCCAAAGGCTTGCCCTTAAAAGGAACAAAGAAAGTTGGGTAAAGGTTTGGTAAAACAATTTTGGTACATACACACCGTCAGGCCATAGCCAGGGGGAGCGGAGGGAGTGGCCGCTCCCCCTCCCTAGCCCCCCCCCCCCCCCCCCCCCCCCCCCCGGTAAATCCTGGCTACGGGCCTGTACATGTAGTATTGTATTGTATTTTGTTTACCACCAATGAAGGTGAGCAATACCTCTTGGGTATGTCCCGTATATATACGGTCGTAATTTACGTCATTAACATGGAAGATACACCCAGAAACCCCTCCTTGAAGGAGCCCTGTGTTCTTTTATGTGCACTTATACATAGACATATAAGTACACACCACAGCCTTTTTGTACGAGTTGCAGACCACTCAGTCAAACACCCTGAAGTACTTCACGCAAACAAGCAAATTCAGTCTTGCCTGAACCGGGGATCGAATCCGGGACCTATTGCGTAAGAGGTACCTGCGCTACCGCTGAGCTACACGGGTGGCACATGATCATTTTATCATTGACTGGAATAGAGAATATATTTTACATTGCCCTCTCTCTATTAAGCCTCACCTGTTCAGCTGTGAGAAGTTTAGCAAGTTCCTCCTGGTTGTCCATCATGACCTTGAACCATTTCTTCAGTATTATGCTTCTTTCCTGGAAAAATATTATCAAAATAAATAAATAGTTTATGATCACAAGGTTGACCAAAGGCAACAAAAGCAACATGAAAGATATAATCTGAAGATTGAATCTTTATTGAAGATACTGTCCGCAGAATAAGATCCCATACCTTTGCTGTGGTCATTTTCCATGTCTGTTGTGCTTTGTAGGCTGCTTGAATTGCTTGCTCTGTTTCTCCCTCACCCATATCAGGCACAGTTCCCAAAACTGCACCCGTTGATGGGTTGGTAACTAAAACATCAAATTGATCAGTTTTTATGGCCTCAAATTGAACCTGAATTATAGATTGGTACATGTATTCCCAGGACTTTTTCCTCCAAGGGGGGGACATAATTCTCATTTTTACAATTCTGACCAGAGTTAAGTCAAAATTCATAATTTTTCATGACTTTTCTCCTCTTTAAGCGAAGTCCGATTCATTTAATTCAAATTTAAATCATACATCCGTACAAAATTACAATTATTTCCCAGTACCTACATGTAAGTAACAAATGTAACTTGTGATGTAATATTTTACCTTCAATGGTGCTTCCATCAGATGCATCTAACCATTTCCCATTGATAAATGCTTGTTCATGTTTGAATGAACTTGCTGACCTCACTCCTGCCCCTGCCTGTGGGATAGAATCCATCTTTATTAGTACTGCAACGAAACTTTGTCTGTTTATCACACTTGGCTTTATCACTCTTGTGAGTAGCTGAGGAAGCTGTAAAAACAAAATACACAGATGAGGGCAGATACAGAAAGGAATTCAACAGAAACTCAACATACCAGCCACCCAACCAATCAAACAAGCAATCAATCAAGAAACCAACAAACCACATCTTTCTTCAAAGGACTTCATTTACAGTGATCTCCCAAGCATTAAAGCAAGTGGGCGCAGCACCCACCTGAGATTTTGAAAACAGGCTTGCATCCACCTGAAAATCCATTTGCAGCCACTCGAAAATGAGAAAAATCATGCAAAATGGTCATATTTTGACCAATTTTCGTCTAAATTGTGACAATGAGAATTTTGCACCCACTTGAGTAAAAATCCTGTGGAGATCACTGTTATATAAAACACTTTATACCCTTGCTGGTTGCTGCAAGCATGAACCAACCAAAGAGCAAATTAACTAAAGAACCAACCAACCAATTAAGCAATCAAACCCACCACATAACCAATCAGCCAACCAACCATCAAATCAGCCGACAAAGCAACAAACCAGCCACTTTATCAACCATGCAACCAATCAGCAAATAAACCAAGTAACAAGGCAAGCAACAAGTCAAGAGCAACCATCCAACAAAGTAACCAACCAGCCACGAACCACCTAACCAACAAACAAGCCACCTAATCAACAAAGCAACCAACCATACAAATAAGCAAGCAACTGACTGACAAAACACCCACCCAATTCATCAATCAACAAAACAACTATGCAAGCAACTGACCAATCAATCAACCACCTACATGATCAATCAACCAACAATCTAACCAACTTATAACCATGAAACAAATAAGCAAATCAAAACAATCAAAAAGCCAAGAGTAGCCAGCCAACCAAACAAAAAAGCAACCATGAGCCTAACCAACCAGTCAACCAAACAACAAAGCATCCATAGGCCTAGTCAACCAGCCAACCAAACAACAAAGCAAGCAACTGACCAACCAATGAATCACCCCCTGGTATCATCCACCCAACTGATCAATCAACCAACCAATAGAGTTGAATGTCAGTTGTTTGGCACCATTAGAAGTGCTAATGTATTCTGGCAGAACGATACTAAGGCAAGAATCTGTCATATTTTCCAAATCGAACTAATCTAGCTTAGGCCAAGTAGTTTTGGAAATATTCAGCACGGGCAAGTGTTTATGAATGTTAGGCCCTAGATTAAAAGCAAAATGTAGTTGTGTTTTGGGTATAAAGAAAAAATCTTAACTCTGCTAGGAGTGTAGCGGTGTTAGGTACCCAGTGGCCAGTCACACGGCTACCCAATTTTTTACACAAAACCGTTGGCAATACCATGGCAATACAAAAATCATCTCAGCACTTCTTGATCATGACATAAAAATCTCAAGGTAGGTCGATGTTAGCCACACAGTTAATTTTTGGCTGTCAAGTTTTGGCTGACTTTGACATGGTGTTTTGGCACTTTTGGCAATAGATGTAGGTGTAAATTTTTTCGAAACAAATGCGTGATATATACACATATTTTGTACAAAATCCGTGACATAAACGGCAATCACGTGCAAAGACCGAACGGAATGAGCCGGGGCAATCTGCGCGAGATTCGGTTTTTACTTGGTTCGGTTTTTCATTAAAGGAAGTATTTCATTCCCATGATTCAAAGGGCTTTTCTGCCATTGGTTCGGTTTAAGTTTGTACACCACGCGTCTAAAATACGGGGCAGGTTGATATTATGTCATTACATTTGTTTTGGGTGTATACTTTTTGTTTTGACACTAAACAAAAATATTCCCACATTATATGGTGCATTATGGGTAGGAACTGCTGTGAAATAATGAACGTAAGTGACATCTATCTCAAGTTAAATGTTTTTATTAAGTTATTAATCACGCATGCGTGATAATAATTTGAACCAATCAAATTGCTCGATTTAATGCGCATGCGCTAAAAACCGAACCAAAAAATGGAATCTCGCACAGATTGCCTCTAGTGAATGGAATGCGTTCGCTTTTTTTTCGCTGTTCGGTATTTTACCCTAGGCCCCTATATATGCGTGATATTTAATCATACACGCTAAATTGATTGTGATTTCTATTTTTCCAGCAAATGCGTGACAATCACGCCTAATGCGTGAGGGTTGACAGGGCAGCATCTGAGAATGTGACCAAGAAAAAATAAAAAAAATTCAGCAAAATTTTACAGTCAAAATACCCTGTTATCTCGCCTTCCAAGAGGAAATATATATAACTAGCTGTGTTAAGAACCTAAATTTTTACACAGAATATTGCATGGCTTGAATATCTATCGATAATATTGGCAAATAATCTAGAATTACATGTGTATTACCTCCCATCGCAGTTTCAGAGCCATTTGACGTTTTCACCATTTTACACTAAACGAAACATCAGTTATCAACATATTTTAAAAAAAGTCCCGGGAATCCGTTGAAGTCCACTACGGGACGTCACGTACCCCACCCCTTTCCAATATTCTCTATAGACTACAGAATATAAGAGGGAGGGTGACACATTCCCCATGAATAAAATTGTGTACATTTAATTTTTAGCCGATTTCATCCCGGACTGTCATCAATAACCGCCGCCTACAATAAAAGTTGGACTGACCCTTTGACAAATTTGAAAGATTGTGAAATCAATAGCCTAAACATATATGATAATTCTGGTCAAGCCAAGTCACAGTGAAGTAGTTAATCTTCTTCACCAAGCACCACGACGCTCCAACGCCGGCAATGGCAAACAAGGCACATCTTAGAATGTCGGGATAGCTTATGTCACAACCCACTGACCCAGGCGGCAAAACCAATTCAAGTTTCCAGCATTGTATATTTATGAATTCTCTTCATATGTTCAATCAATGTGAGTGCCACAGTAAGATCAGTAAAATCCGACTTTCCAAGTAGTCATGATGTCACAGGAGATGGACGTCCTTGGGTTCCCATCCATAACCATTATTGTACCCGGTGGGGAACGACCGCGTTGATTATCTGACCTACCTAATCCCATCATTAGCCAAAAACTTGTTTAACATGAAAATATGATTTTAATAATACCTTGAGGCTGTTGATTCTTGACGCAATTGTGACACAAAAGACCGGTTAACCGAATGTGTAAAATGTTATCTCAACTACAATATGCCAATTTATGCTGTCATTTATCTCGTAGACCTTTGTGCCTTACAATCAGCCGAGTGCAGAATGTATGTGTAGTTTTACCAAGGACTTGATCATGTTACTGAATATTGTGAGCTTCTAACAACGCTATCAAGTGGTTGTGCAAACAAGGTAAAGAAGTACAACGCTATCTGGAATGACTGAATGGCCGGTAAGGGGTGCGGTGTACTTACAAGAGCCTAGTAGAAATGACACAATCAACTGTACACTGTAAGTCTAGGATGAAGACTGCAGTCTACTTATTTCGACAGTTTCTCGTTTATAAGCCCATGGGCATATTTATGAACATACACAAACTTACATGTGCATGACCGTCTTCGATCGTTGTCAGCAGCCATGTAAATTGCACAACGACTACTATTATTTCAGAATCATCCTCAACCTAAAAAGTTATCCGGTCTGAATTTCCGGGGTTTTCCAGTTCAATTTTAATAATAAATCCGGGTTTTCTCCGGATTTGTATTTTTTAACTCGTGGTTTTCAGGGGTAATTGCGTATTTTTAGGGATCGTTATCATTCTTATTCCGTTAATATATATTGAAACCAAAAACCAAATGATTGTAAATTGGTAGATCAATTCTCGTGTATGTCATACCATGGTAGAGCCCATGGTCATACAATTAATATCTGAAACACAACTATTATTCGAACTTATGATCGGACATAAGTATGATGTGTAGTTCAAGGTAATAAAGTAATAGCATTAAATGATTTATACTAATGTCCGATCATAAGTTCGAATAGTTGCGTTTCAATATTCAACATTGGCATTGTTTTAACGAAAATTACGCATTGATTCCAATAAAAGTGATTACATGCGTTTTGTCAGGATCGAAAGTGACTAACCATTTAAGCCCACCATTGGAAAGCTGTTTTTGTCATATTGAATGTAGCTTTAATAGATACAGAAGTCGTTATACAACTGAGAAATCAAACATCACGTCTTAATCTTCAAAAAGGAAGACGTGATTTTAAAGACCGATCGATAGTGACCTGGCGTGCATTTTCTCATCATGATCCAAGACTGACGATGTTACGTATTTACTTCTATGGATATTACATGTACTATAGTCATTGGATTCCTCGTTAGTTATCAAGTCCTAGGCGGAGCCTGTGGGAAATATTTGGTACGGCAGAAATGAGCGTTTTGGTGCGGAATAAAATCACAAAAAGTGTTATAACACTTGCATTTTAACATTTCTAATTTTTTTCAAATTCTTTTTGAACGCACGGGCGTATTGTGCGTAACAGGCGCTACGGCGCCCATGATATCTTTACGCAATTACCCAAATGCGAGTAAGTAGTTACAAGTTTCACCACCAGATGGCTGATTCGGGTCAATTAACATGGCAGGTATATAAGAAAGTTCCTTTAAACTTGAATATTATCAATTTAAGTGGCTCAATTTTCATATAACCTTTATGTGTCTGATACTTATACTAATGAAAATATGTCCAGTAAAGCAAATTATTATCTGTCCACTAAAATAAAAGATATTTCATTTTTTGTGATTTTATAGCATGGGGTCTATGGGGAATCTCCCCGAGCTAGAAGTCACATTTTCAAAGAAAATTAATTTTTCAAAGTTGATAAACACTTTTTAAAACCACATTTCTAGATGTAATTTTACATGTAGATTTCAAATATGATATTACTTTGACTGAATTTTGAATTTTGAATGACGTAAATCAAGATTATTTCTACTCGCATCTGGGTTATTGGATTGGCTTTGTTTTTATCCAGATGTTTTTACTTCTAAGAATTAAAACACATTATTCTCAATAAACATACATGTATATTTCATATTTATGGTCAAATATATCACCATGAAAATACTAGTATGACATTTTGTAATACGGCTGAGACAACAAACTTTAAGGTATTTTAGTCTCATGTTGTAGCCACCGGTTTTTGTGACTGGAGTCCAGTCATGTCTATTATGCCTAAAACATAGATCTAAAGAAGATAGTAAAGCTTAAAAATATCCCAAACCTTATACAGTGTTGAATCTCCAAACATGTTTGTAAATAACTATGACCTGACACCGTGATGAAGATAAATGTGATATATCTATGACATAAATCCAGTTTGGATGCAAAGAAAATCTTATTTTTGGTTTTTTAATTAAAGTAGGTGAATAATCATTCCGATTCCACATATTTATATGTCAATCTCATGTATGTTAACAACAATATTTGAACTATAATGACACTGGTATTTGAATTGTAGTGTCACAAGTGATGTTTTAACTGTAGCTCACCATTAATATTGAAATGTGGTGATTCCATTTCCCGGGCCATTGATGGAAGTGACAGAGAGGGCCACGACTCACCAGATCTCGTATGTCCCCGCTACGTCTGTCCAAACCAAAATCATTAAATATTAATTGATAATTAGAAAATGAGCTGATACAAAGTGAGCCAAAAAAGGTAACCCAAACAAATCTTAATAACTCAGTCATTCAGCATCTCTTGAAAGCCCATAGTTTGCCATACTTGGAAAAATCTAAAATTAAACCTTGTTCAGTGTTCCTTCAATTCTACTAATTTTCACTGGTGTATTGCTAATGGTTAAAATGTTATAGCCATTTTACAAAACATGCTATAAAATGCCGGCGTCGATTCTGGAGGCAAACTCGAATGCTTCAGGTGAAGTATTTCACTACATGAGCACAAATTTAGCCGCACAGATACTACGCTGGGGTGTTTCATGGCATTTGGACATGTTTTTAAATGGTCGTAAATTAATATCCTGTCCATTGGGGATAGACCAACAAAACTTGGTAGAAATTAGGAGCATTAAACACGATTTAATATTGTGTGAAATATGACTCTAAACCCATGATGAATTACAGAGCTATTATTGACTGGGTTACCTTTTTTGGCTTACCCTGTACAAACTGAAGTACGATGACCTGACTTATCAAATATGTCCCATAGCCTCTGAAAAATTAATGTAATAATTTGTATAAAACTGTGAGAAAATCATTATTTTCGTAATAACGTGCCACGGCCAATACATTCATTGATTTCATTCTCAATGAAACCCTTTCAGACCCTTTCTTTCAGACAACCCTAAAAAAGCGAACATTAGCATCAATTTTTTGTCGTTCGCTAAAACGTGTCACATGACGTTTAAAATGGCGGCGCCCTTTCTTCAATGAAACTCAGAATGAAACTGTAAAAAACATTAGTCTATAAACGTATAAATATCATCGCATGTGGAGCAATAGCAGGTATATGAATATAACATGTGTCAAATGATATCAAAAACATTAATTCAAGTTGACAAGGTTTAAATCGCATATCAATTCCAACTATGAAGTGAAATTCAATATTTTTGAAAATGGAGGACGAACTTTCAGAAATGTGTAAAAAGATTTTGAATGATATCAATGCGATTTTAAAGAAGGATCTTCAAATTGATGAGTATGATGTTATTCCAACATTAGGAAAGACAACATTAAACAGAAGTCCCATCTTACATGAAGAACACAAGTTGGGTGTTGAATCATGGTGTATCAAACCACTTTTCCTCTATTGTTATTCTGGCCTGATGGAACAGAGAGATAAGATGAAACAAATAAAGAGAATATTGGATGAAGATGTACAGTCTTTGTTGACACTGTCCCGTCTGGTTGTGATGGTCCAGGCCGATTGTATGACTGCATGGAATATTAGGAAGGAACTGATAGAGGCTGGCAAACATAAAGTTATGGAAGATCTCTCTTTATCGGCACTTATTCTTACTAAACATCCCAAAAGTGCAGAGACATTTGCGCATAGAAAGTGGCTTTTAGAGAAAATAGCAAAGACGTGTGGAGCTTATACTGCTACATTGAATGACACTGTTAATATTGATTTAGAACTTCAAGTGTGTCAGGGTGCAGCTGACAGGTACCCCAATAACTACAATGCTTGGACACATAGGATTTGGGTTGTACAGACCTTAGCTAAAGAACAACTCAAGGTTTGCCACAAAGAGCTTCACACAACACAAAAGTGGATCAACACCCATGTATCCGACCACAGTGGCTTCCATTACAGACAATTCCTTTTTCTCGAGATTTCAAAATATCTCAAAATCATTCCGCAGTGTCGCAGTCAACAGCTTGATAATCAAAACATACCTCTTGAGTTTGATTGTGCCAGTGGTTGTTCTGAAGGTTGTGATGATGATTGTGTTTTGGTTAAGAAGAATATCTCCAAGTTAACACATTATGAGAAGAGTCGTGAGGTCTTAGTGCAGCTACTATGCAGAGAAGTGAACATTACAACATATCTCATTGAACATTACCCAGGACATGAGGCTGTATGGTACCACAGGCGTTCAGTTGTCTGGTCCCTGATGAATAATCACAACACTGTCAACAGAGTTCAAACAACAGGTTCGCCAACTGAAGAAATCAAAGTAAAAATACAAAGAATGGATACTGAATCTGAAGAGTTGATAGCAAAAGAGAAGAAGTTCTCTCAGCAGTTTATAGATGGCAGCAGCAATACCTGGCAGGCAATGTTGGCAGAGAGGTATATGAAATGGATAGACAATCTTAATTAGAGCTCTTATACAAGACTTTTGCAATTAAGGAAATTAGTTTGCATATTAATTTATCAATTTCAATTTTGAAGCTTTGACAGAGTTAGGTAAACACATATCCTACCCAGGTTTTTTCTACATCTGTTTAATAAACAGAAAATATCCATTTAACGTTGAAACACATTTTGGAAGTAATAGAGACTGTGTAGGAACCATCAAGACAGATGTCAGCTATTAAATCAGCTTATGACAGGTCATACTAATTTGAACAGTCACGTTGCTAAGATAAGACCTGATGTAAATAGACTATACTCTACGTGTAAAAAAGTAGAGACAGTGATCATTTTACAAATGAATGTTCCAAGTACAATGAGGAAAGAGAAGTGTTTCCTTCTCTAATGAAAAAGTATTATGAGGAGCCAATGTGAAGCCAGCATTTGATATGAAACTTCTGAAATATAAACATTAGATTACATCTTATGGATAACATGTAAAGAAAAGGAAAAGACTGTAATCACGGAAAACAAAACAACAGACAGTGACTGTTTGTAAAAAGCCAAATATGATGATCATGACACACGTTTCTTGGCTAGAGATTTGAGTAACTTTGAATAACAGAAACTGTACCATGGCATTCCTCGAAAACAAACATTTATAGTATACTTATTTTTTAGTTTACTTATCAACAATTTTGGTACATGTTACAGACTTTCAAACATGAGTATTCTTTCACCACTCAAGTCTGGGGAATTCATATCAAACAACAGTCAGCATGTAGCAGTGAAAGATGATGGTGTTAAACATGTAGCAAATCTGGTAAGTTTATCACATGTTTTTGTGATCCAACCTAGCAAAATAAAGGGATTTAACAATAGGAGAAACAATTGTATTCAGTGTGAGAAAGTAATTGACTTTTTCATGCCAGCATATATGATGTGCTCAGAATTGACTGTTGTCTATGATCCTTTGTGATCCTTACATACGAGTAACAGATGGAAAAATACATTTCTAATTTTGCATGTACACAAAGTCATACTGTAGTTACAGATATAGCTAACTTCTAATAATTTTAGATGGTGCAGAGTGTTAGAGACAATAGATACAATAGCAAATCCTGGAAACAGCACACATTGAATCCAAAAACGATGGATAAGGCTGCCATAGATTGGTATTTACAGCATTTTATTGATTCTTCACTATCAAATATACAAAATAATACTTTTGTTACTCTAATTATATCGATGCCTAAATTCAAATATGATATACATGTACACACCCTTTCATTTTCAAAATAACAATAAACCATCCCTTGTTTCATTTACAGTCTTATGATTGTCCAAAATTAAAATCTTTTTCTCTGAAAAATGGGCATATGACTGGTTAAATGTGTTCGCATTTGGAAGTGTTCACTCTACAGAGGTGTTCCGAATATTAAAGCTTACCATTTACTGTTATTATAGGATTTTCTTGGTGGATGCTCTGAACTTTTCATTTTGGTCAGAAGACCCTTCCAATACATATGTGGTTACTTATAAAGGTGAAAGCTACAGAGGATACTGGTCTCTTTGTGCAGCAATAAACAGGGCCATGGAGGTAAATGTTTATGTAAGGTGCAAAACTGTGCCATATCAAAGAGAATGATTTGTATTGTATATGCCATATTTCTTTTGAGACTATCCCCTTCCCATGTTTGTTCAATGTTAAACTAATGGAAATGAGTTGTTGCATTTTATTATGGTGGTGAAATTTGTTATAGTCTCCAACTTTTTGGGGATGGTATTTGGTGGTCGATGTCTGTGACATCATTCGGCATTTGTAACAAATGACAGGTGGTGACATATTTTGTATGTTAATGCCTTGTTATTTTCAACATGAACTTCATGAACAAATGTTTTTACAAGGAGAAATGATATACGGTATAATATTTGACCTACAATACAATGTCAAAAACACATGAAAATATTCATTCAATAAGCAAAATGTGAAATGTAAATTTGATGGATTATTTTTTATTTTTGGGTTTTGTTTTTGCGTCATAAAATCTTTTTGTTAAATGCATGAGAGTGGAAACGAATATCAGTTTTACAAATGAAAATTAAATCATTAGGTATGATATCAACTTTTGAACAAAATTACTATAGTCTTCAATAACATAAACATAAAATAAACATTCACACATTGCGTCTTTTTTATCAAATCCTTTATACATCTAAACTTTTACAATTTCAGGATGGTAAACCTATGACTGACCCAAAGTTTTATTGTGACATCACAGAGGAAGAGCTCCACTACATTATGAGGTCAGACTCTAATATACAGATGCCCATGCTGCATGAGAGATTAAAGGTCCTACATGAAGTCGGCTCAAAGTTAGTTGAAGTATGATGAAGTTTAACTAAGACCCTTTCTATACTGTTGAAGATAATTGTATTGTTGAAACCAAATAACACATAAAAATCAGTTTTTCAAGCTATGTTGATTGAAGAATTCCTAAGTCTATTGTTCTTTTACAGTGACATCATGATATTGCAGGCCCGTAGCCAGGATTTGCCAAGGGGGGGGGGTCATTTTTCAAAATTTCCAAGGGGGGTTCACATTTGACAATTTTGACCCAAATATGGCTTAGATCACTTGAGAAGTGCTCAAAATGGTGAAAAACTGCATGATTTTAAAAGAATTTTTAGCCAGTGGGGGGTTCACCTGAACCATGCACCCCCCCCCCCCTGGCTACGGGCCTGTATTGATGGTCACATTTGATTGCATGCATTCATGAAAGCTACTGTTATTGACATATATTGACAGATATTTCAATTCGTCATGTAAAAGGAAATTTCCAGTGGTGAATGAAATACAGACAATATCTCTATAAACTGTTTAGGGTCAATGGATATCAACTGAATTGTAACTGGATAATTGTCAATGGTTCAATTTGTTCAAATACACAGGTTTTTATGTCAACACCACAAATGATGACACATTGTTATAGATGGTGTTCGGTGGCATGTTTTTGGCATTTGGTGTCTGTAACAAATTGCAGGTGATGACATTCTGCATGTTAATTAATGCCTTGTACTGTTTTTGCTTTACAAATATTTGAAACCATTTTCAGAAGTACAATGGCAGTTTTGTGAATTGTATATATGAAGCTGATGGAAGTGCAAACAAATTACTGGAGATCATCATGGAAAACTTTCCTGCCTTCAGAGATGTAGCCGAGTTCAAGGGAAAGCAAGGTGAATATATACTTACTTTTAGAGAGCTAATGATCCCAATAAAAGACTCTTCAGTGAGTCCATCTGTACTCTGTCAACATTTTATATTACGCCTCAGGGAACTCATACGCTCGCGTACATATAGCTTCGAAATGATTTTGTATTTTTATTCCACTTTGAAAAAGTGCTAGACTTGTCGTTATCGTTCTACTGATTGGGCAAGTCTGTGGGCAGGCGGAACATAAATCATGTCATCAACACTGCTTACATGTATCAATTCACCTTTTTACGCAAGAGCAGATTAGTGCCAAGGTCTGATTAGGTTTTGGGCATGCTGGGTATATACATACTGTAACAGTCCTTTAGCTCTTCAAAGTGCAACGTTTTTCACTGTTTGTCTTGTTTATTATTGTTTGCAGTTGGCATATACAAAAGAGCCCAGATTCTAATATCCGACATATGGGCATGTTGTGAGGGTACTGGGCTAGGGGCATTCAAAGATGTAGACACTATTACAATGTTTGCTGATTACAGGTCAGTAGGGTCCATAATAGGGCCCATTATCTATTTTTACTGGAAATTAATTTTGAATAAAAGGCTCATCTAGTATTATATATTTTTGTATTACTTAACTCTAAATTTCAAAATTATTTATTTTATTTTTTTATTTATTTATTTATTCATATATATTTCAACATCAAATGTACAGTAAACGGGTGACACTTCTCGTGTATATTCCCGTGTTTATAATCATGAAATGTACAGATTGGGGATCTGCTTGTGTGATGAATGCTACTATCTATGTCTGACTAAGAATGTGTCATATAATGCCCACTATGGTTATCTGAAATTGATATTATTGATTGATAAAATATTTTTTCAATTCTTTTTTCATAATAAAAATACTTCCAGATGATGTTATTTCAATAGGTAATGAATTCCAAATTGATGGTGCAGTAAAAGATATCAAGGCTTTACCATAATTTGTTCGAATTTTGGGTTTGTCATAGTTTACCCTATTTCGGGTGTTGTAAGCATGTCTCTCTTGGATGGTACTGAAGAGGTTTGGAAAAATTTTATGATAATTATGGAGTTTATTAATCCATTTGTACATGAAAATGCATTTCAACTGCTTATTAATATCAAATATATTCAAAATGTTCAGTTGTTTGAATAGGGGAAGGGAATGTGCTCTGTAGTTACTGTTTGTTGCGATACGTGTAAATTTTTTCTGCAAAATATGAAGGCAGTTTAACAAACCACTACCTGCTTCACCCCAGATAAGATTGCCATATATCAAATAAGAGTAAATAAGGGAATAATAGATGCTCAAGAATGCTTTATCATTTAACAGTTGTTTGACCCTATATAGAATACCAATGGTTCTGGAGATTTTAGCATTAACGGACATAATATGACGTTTCCAGTTTAAGTTTTGATCAATTGTAATGCCAAGAAAATTAATGCTATCAACCTGCTGAAGCTTCTTTTTATTAAGATAGATGTTTATGTTATTTGCATTATATCTTTTTTGACTTGAGGTGAAAATAATATATTTTGTTTTATCAGCATTAAGGGATAATTTATTAGTGATAAGCCACTCCTCTATTAGTTTTAGTTCAGTATTGAGAATATCAGCAAGTTCAGTTAGATTTTTACCTTTTATCAATAAATTGGTATCATCCGCGAATAAAACAAAAAACAATCGTGGAGAAGAAAGGTAAATGTCATTTATGTACAGAATAAAGAAAAGTGGTCCAAGAATTGAACCTTGAGGGATTCCACACGTGATAAATTCAGGCTCAGATAAGGTATTGTTGTAAAATGTTTTCTGAATTCTGTGTGTAAAATAGCTTTTGATCCAATTGAGCGCAACACCACGAATGCCATAAAATTCAAGTTTACTAAATAGGATGTTGTGATCAATTGTATCGAAGGCCTTGGAAAAATCAAGAAACAATCCAATGGTACATTATACATTAATAAGTAAATAAAACTTTGAAATCCTTGGATAGTTAAGTTAAGGTTGGTCCTAATGGGGTACTCAGATTATTCGATTGACACATATATACTAGTATACTATATAGTAGATGGGTTAACTGCATTTTAGGGGGTCTGGACTTCAATCTATGATGCAAACGTTTCCTTTGACATGAGAGTACCTTAGGACCATAGAATCAAATTTATCCAAAGACACACGCCAGATGGCGCTTTATATTGGAAATATTCACATTTTTCAAAATGGCCGCCAAAAATACAACGGAGACAATATATTTTCTTCTATGCATACTATAATGATACGATTGGTGGCTAAAAATACATACTGTGAGTGAAGAATCAATTTAGTATGGGTTTGAGTCTTGAAAATTAGGAACTTCCTCTTTATATAAAAAAATTATGCCTTTTTCAAAATGGCTGCCAGAGATGTAACAAAGATGATATCTTCACTTGTTATGCATGCTACAATAGTAAGATTGATGTTCAAGTATACATTAATGGGTGGTAGAATTCATTTGATAAGGTTTATAGTCTTTATTTCCCAACGAAGAAAGTTCAGTAGGGATGTAGTGAAGCCCTCCGTCCGTCAGTCTGTCAGAACATCATCTGTCTTATGTATGATTTTGCAATTTTTGTCAGATTCCTTCAAAGTATGGCCATATGTACTCAATTAAATTGAAGATGGTGTTAATTTTATGATTAATGCCTCAGAAAATTCAAAATGTCCCAGAGAAGGAGTTGATTAGCTATTACTTACTAGATATGTCGTCAAGGTATGGTTACATTATATTAAATTAGATCTCAATTTTTTTATTGTCTAAATATAATTTTTAGCGTTGACTAAATGGTCACCAAAATGTTTAAATCAGCGGAAATTCTGATATTGTACTGTATGTCTATTAGTTAACAAACATTTTCAGTTTTTATTGAAAATGTATGCCTTTTTTCAATGGCTATGGAAAATATTACAAAAAACTATATCTAATAAGGGCTCTTATACATCTTCAAAAGTAGAATAGTTTGCATTTTGAAAGTGTAGTTTTGAATATCAATTTGCGATGATGGAAACTATGCTGAAAACAATGGATAGCATGGGAGATGTGGTTTTCAACTTCAGTGCATTTCAAATACCGTACCCTTTTAAGTAATTGTTGATATAAAGTGAGGCAACTTTTGATATGTTTTAATTGAGAAAAACAAGATCATCTTTTTACAAAATAAGCTTAACATTTTAAAAAAGTGTCAAGGGATGGGATCCTAATCCATAATTTTCCAGAAAGTTGGATTCATATTCTACAATCATGGGGACTTCACTTGGAATAAAACACATTTTTTTAATAATGAACACTGTATTTATGGCCAGAAAGTACTCATGGTGAAAGACATATTGCCTTTTAAAATCTTTAATCTCTTAAATGTTCAAATGAGAAAATAAGAATATTTTTCTCAATATGACAATATTCAGTGCTGTATGTGTGTACATACATGTCTTTTTCAAAATGGTTGCCAATCAACAACAAGCTTAAAAGTTTGTTGGTTGGATTAGTGGAAGACTCGGTAAACAGAGACATCGTCCATGATTTGGTCAGAGGATATGAAGAGGGTTCTGCAATACTGTCATAATATGCAGCCCTTGAAATCTATTCCGATCTTCCAAGATTTTCTCTCGCCAGAAGGTTTCTGGCCCTTTCTAACTGTAGGTACATATGTATGTCTGTCCTGCATGGTTTCTATCTATCACATTTCTCACATGTCATATCACATATCACATGTATGTTGTTACACTGGTCTTTCTGGTGAATTTGAGTAAAAAGAACATTGAAAGATAAATACACATTTGCTGTGTTAAGGCGAAAACGATTATAATCATCAACTTTAAAATTGAATTTTCTTCGAAAATGTGACATTTAGGTCAGGGAGATTCCCCATAGTCCCCATGTTGTAAAACACAAAAAGTGAAATATCTTTTCTTGTGTTGTGCAGATAATATTTTCTTTAACTGGAGATATTTTAGTTTGTACAACTATCAGATACAAAAGAGTGATATGGAATGTGAACCACTAAAAATTAAGAATATTCAAGTTTAAGGGAACTTTGTAATACCCTGCAATGTTATTTCACCCGAATTAACCACCTGGTGGGGAAAGTGGTAACTACCTACATGTACTTGCATCTGAGTAATTGAATAGATTTTACATTCCCAAAAAATGTAGATTTTGAAGCCAATTTTATGAAATATTTTGCCCAGAAGTAAAGAAACTTTTAGCAAAGATACAATTTTTGTTAGCAAAGATACAATTTTTGTTAGCAAAGGTACAATCTTTGTTAGCAAAGATACAATCTTTGTTATATTTTCAGCTGCATATATTTCCAATGCAAAGTGAAAACTATAATCTCACAAGACTTAATAAAATTGATTCTCATACCCCATAAATATAAAATCTTGACACCAATCGTATAAGTGTGGCAAGCAATGATGTGAAGATATCATCATTGTTATATTTCTGGTGGCCATTTTTAAAAACGCATACTTTCCTATAAAGTGAAAATTCTTATTTTGAAAGAACTATTTAAATGGATTCAACAACCCAATATTATGTATACTTTGACACCACTCTTATCATTGTAGCATGCTTAGAAGCGAAGATATCTTCTTTGTTATATTTCTGGCAGCCATTTTGAAAAATGCATATATTTTGAATATAAAGTGCAAGTGCTGAATTTACAAGATTCGAAACCTAATTAAATAGATTCTACAACTACATTAATATATTTTTGACACCACTCTTATAATTGTAGCATGCACAGAAGCAAAACTATTGTCTCTGATGTATTTTTGGCGGCCATTTTGAAAAATGTGTATATTTCCAATATAAAGCGCCATCTAGCTTGTGTCTTTGGGTAAATTTGTTTCTATTGCCCTAAGGTATGTCAATGCCAAAGGGGACATTTTGTAAGGTAAAAAATCTTAATTTGTAAGTATTCGTAAGGCAAGATATCTTCTTTGTTATATTTCTGGCAGTCATTTTGAAAAACGCGTATATTTTGAATATAAAGTGGAAGTTCTTAATTTTCAAGACTCAAGATCTAATAAAATAGATTCTACGACTACATCGCTGTATTTTTTTACACCAATCTTATAATTGTAGCATGCACAGAATCAAAGATATTGTCTCTGATGAAATTTTGGCGGCCATTTTGAAAAATGTGTATATTTCCAATATAAAGCGCCATCTAGCCTGTGTCTTTGGATAAATTTATTTATATTGCCCTAAGGTACTTTCATGCCAAAGGGGACATTTGCATCATACAATGAAGTCCAAATGTAGTTAACCCATCTACTAATACCTTATTTAAGCCTCAGTCACATTTGCTCTATGGCGGCTGTAGCTTCACAAAATTGATATAGAATCTACATCATACTGCTTATCTCTTTATTTTATGCTGCATATTTCAATCAATTTTGGGAAGATACGGCCGTTGTATGGTTGTCTTGTTCAAATGTGACTGAGCCATAATCTTGGTGTAAAACAAATAAAACTGTTTTTCAGAATCCCTCAAATCCTTGTATATTTTGGTGCCTTAGAATACTCAGACCATTTGATGGATCTCCTCAAAAAAGGTAAGTCCTGTCTCTTCAAAACAAACACCTGGCTGATAAAATTGTATTGATTTTTAATTAGAATCTCACAAAATATGTAGGGCCAAGGACGAATACTCACTTCCGGGTGATATACATCATGTTTAAACAGAAATTCTAACATTTTTGGGATCATGTTTGAAGTATATTTAATTGACTCAAGTGTAACACTTAACATTATTTCAGATACATTATTCCAAAGTGGTGATCAACTGGAAGTTGAGATACGTGGTTGCAGCATATGGGCTGTTGAGGTAACTATTACAATAGTTTGGCTCCAAATCTGAAAATGGGCCCAATTTCTTAAAAGTAGGACCAAAATCAAAAAATAATGTCCAGTAAGGCCAGTCTGTTCCCAAAATTGTTGTCACAATCCTTGCCCATGATTTTTCCTATGTGCTCAAGCAGATTACTAGAATAGTACATTATTATAGGGTCTTGATATGTATACTGTGTTCTGTTATTTGCTATAACATCATCGGTGACACTTTCAAATGGGCATTGACAAAGTATGTACCAGCAATCCCTTTAACCTGTTCTAATTTTTATTTATCTTGCCTCTAGACATTACCAATATTTACAATATAATTTCATTCACTTCTACTTCAATCATGGTAATTCTAAGACTTTTGATTAACAATATTTGACATTGAATTTCAGTTGATTGTTAGAGAAGCAAGAGAACTGATGGCCAAGGATGAATCCCTGAAGGACAATTCAATGAATGCAATCATGGTGGACCATTATTTGTGGGACTATCGGGTGGCTCATGCCATAGAAACAAACCATATACCAATACATAAGATACGTTGTATATACTACTGATATTGTGCAACTGTCCAATAATCTATACTTTTATTAAAAGTGCGGACCATGAATAATGACGTATACAAATTGAATACTGTATTTGCATTTATCAGATATAAATGTGTAACGATATTTGATTTTGTCTTCCATAAAACCCGATAATTTATAACATACTATACAGTAAAACTTGTGTATAATGAACATTTTTGCTGAGAAAAAGCATTCAGTGTTGGTAGGTGTTCACTACGAGAGGGAAATTTAGACAGAAGTAAGTAGTCTCTGCGGAGGAAGGGTATCTACTAGAGACATGTGTTTACTAGAGAGAAGTGTTCACTAAGGCAGGTTTTACTGTAGTATATTATACATATCAGTTTTGAAAATTGGCTTTAGAGCAGGACTTGTACTCTCATTGCGGATATGTATATTAAATATGGATGATATTTAGCCAGTAGTATTTATGAACAATATAATAAACATAAAGTATTGTCCAGGATGTTGGATGGACATACAGATTCGTTTTCTATATTCACCAACATTGCTCAATGGGATAATGATAAATTGTGCCAGATTTATTTGACTAATTTTGTGGTTTACCCTGTACTGGCATATAGAAAAACAAAATAAATGATGTACTGTTTTTGAAAATATTTATTCTTGATTATACAGTATTTTTTAATTACATAATTATTTCAACACTTAATGTCAACTTGTAAACTGTTCATACTGTGAGGTCTGCAAAAAGTAATGATTTTTTTCATATACAATAAAGTCTGCGAAGTTAAATATGTTGAAAAAAGGTTTTTACAAAGCTTCAAAAGTTTTGTAAAAGTTATTCAGTATGTTCATTAATAATTGTATTTATAACTCTACATGCAAAGCATTTGACCAGATACATTGTTCTAGTCACATGATATTATGCATGCATATACCAAGGGCCAAATAGAGTTCAATAAATAAAGTGTTTTTTATATTATCAAAATTAAGTTACATTATCCCCCTCTGTAATCTTACAAGGAGACCTGGCCAAAAATGCAAAAAATAACACATTGATATTTGACCCTCTGCAATCTTGGCAAATCTGTGAGATATTATGATATCTACAACATATGGCAGCACGTTTTTTTGTTCATTTGGCTTGATCCTCAAGTTTACCTTTATCTATACATCAATATCACAATGACAAATATACTATAATTAAAGTAACACTGATTGTATCGTGTGCTTTATGGCAGTATGGGCTATTGTATTGCAAATTGACATTTTTAAATTGTTCAGTGTGGCTGCTGGCTGAGATTAAACAGAATACAATTTTGCAAGGCCTAATATTACAACAAAAGTATGCTTCCTCAGAGTAATATAGTTTTTTTTAGCTTGGCCTAAAATGCATTTAATCATGTTAATGTGTGGCATTTTCAAATTGACTTATAAATATTTATTTCGTTCATAAAAAATGAAAAATCTACAGTGTTCATTCAGTTTACAAATCGATAAAAGTTTTAGTGAGATTTCAAGATTACTGTAGCTATTTTTCAAATATGTTTATTGGCTGGAAAGTAAGTTCATATCTCTATCGATCTCCTTTTACATACATGATCCTTGGGTAAATAGAAAGTGCTACTTTAAATACATGTATTGAGTATTTACTTATGTATTCATAATTGATTTGAAACTGATTCAATTTGGTTATCTAACATCAAAAAATACAAGTTGGCAAATATTACTTTACTGTACATTTTATCACAGCCCAAGCTGCTAGCTCAAAGGCACAAAACACTGCTAGGCTCAGGGCCTTGAAGTACTGAATCTCCTAACATACAACAATACAACACTACACATTTTCAACTGTACAAGTTTAGCTGCTCTTAAGGACCTTGAGAATCTGCATTTCAGATCTTCATTCAATTAACAATAGAAAATAATGAGCTGCACTTCAGGGCCACCTATATAGAATATGAGATAACATCACTCCATCTGTATCTTTACAAATTTTACAAACACACTTTTAATTCAACTGTTATACCTTTAAACCATTCATCTGTATCAAATACACAGAAGAGCTGTTTTATGGGAAATCGTCAAACATAAACAAGTCATCCACAACGTCTTTTTTATAAATACATAGCAATAACAGTTTCAGCAAGAAATTCAAGTACAACATTTAATGTGACTTCTAGTTTGAATTGATTCCCCATAGACCCAATGTTACAAAATCACAAAAAGTGAAATATCTTTTCTTGTATTGGACAGATAACATTTTCTTTTATTGGACATATTTTAATTTGCATAACTATTAGATAGATATGGGTTATATGAAAATTGAACCATTAAAACAGAAGTAATTTAAGTTAAAGGGAGCTTTCTACCATACCCACCATGATATCTGACCTGAACGAGTCAATTGATGGTGAAACTGGAAACCATCTACTCGCATCTGCGTTATTGTAAATACTAGTTACTTTTCCACACAAATGGCTTAAAGGCCCCATGTAAAGTTTAAACCACTTTGGCTTATATTGAAATATTTAAATATCCCAAAACCAATAACTTTATAAAATATGTCAATCAATTCTAACCATGAAAGTTAATGATTGAACAATACTGTCAAACTTTGCACAGGGCCTTTAATTTTTCAATGACCATCCATAATGCCTTTACTGTCTAATTGAAGTAAAAGCATGTTTATATACATTATGCACTGTACAGTATAAGTACATTTGTCTACAATTTGAGACAATTTTAAATGGCACCCTAACAAAAGATATCAGAGGTAAGATTATGGCTGCCTGACAAAACATATTTATAATTCTGATAAAAAGATAATTTGTTCAAAAAGAAAAAATTCCATATTTCACACACAACTTTCAATAAACGTTATCAAATTTCAATCAAAATGTTCATATGAATTCATAGAATTAAATGCACTGGTCTACAATATAAGGTGCACATAAGGTGGATCAAATAAAACAAATATCATATGAAAAATGGCAAATATGGGTATAGCAATCCCATGCAAATATTTACAATTGTACAATGTTCGCTATCCCATAATCCAACATCTACACAATAGCCTGCACTCTTGGGACGGCTTCATTACTCATTACTTTACTCTCATTTGCCACGATGCCTTCTTGTTTAAGTCGCTTTAGAATTGGCCTATAGATGTCTCTGGTCAGTGGAAGAACCATGCCCTTTTGTTGGATCTCACCTGAAGGGAAACAGTGATATAATACAAAATATTCATAATATTTAAGTACTAGATTGATCCTCCAACAATATTGCTGTTCCAAAATGTTAGTAAGCATATTTCCCCCAAATATGTATTGAACATTTGGTTAAAAAACCATTGGTGAAAAGTTGGATGTATACATCATGTACACAACTTTTGAAAAAAGTTTATTCTTTTTATCAACAGGCTTCAATTCTAGATTGTGTGGAATAAATTATTATTTCCTATATGTATTACAGAATAGGTTTATACCTTCTAGAACCATCTTTGCTGCAATGCCAGTTGGGAAACCCACAGTTTTGGCCATGGCAGAGTAACTATTAGGGTCACCATACACAACAAAATTGATGTCTTCCCGGTCTAGGGAACCATCGGGGTATTCAACGTCTATTTCATGACGCATTATTAGCAGATCTCTTTCACCAGCATCTGGAAGTAGAATAACCATATAGACATTTCCGACAAATCCTGACCCCTTTTGAAAACTTGGGTTTAATGGGAAGATTTATGATGTCATGTAAACTGTTAACAAAATTGTAAGAAGTTAATAACAATTAGCAATATATGTATTCTGGCCTGCAATAAGAATGACATCATAACTAGAAATAGGTGTCTTGAAATGACTTTACCGATGAAAATATTATTGATTTTAGACCCAATTTATTTTACTGATTCTCTAGAGCACAGATAGTATACTAGTGTACATATAGAGCACCCTGTATTTTTTAGGCCTTATATCTGTAAATACAGGGTGAGAAAAAAGTTAACCCAAACAAATCCTAATAACTCAGTCATCCAGTATGGATTTGAAGCCATAGTTGGCACAAGTGAACAGTGTTCATACTGGATGACCGAGTCATTAAGATTTGTTTGGGCTAACTTTTTTGGGCTAACCCTGTAGTTCAAGTTAATAAATACTTACTATAACTGAGTCTCTTTGTTAAATAGTTGGAAAGTGTATCCAGGGGAGTATGTCTCTTGTCTATTAATGTATCTTCAAATAATCCCAGTCTGCAAGGATAAATCAAAATATTTGTGTCAGTAAATAATATTGTAGCCTAGTCTTTTCATAATATAAGAAACTGGCACCATTTGGTAGGCCTATGTCTGTTATGTGAAAATTTTGTGAAATTTTGAGGACATGATATTTAGACCCCAATAAAATGGAAATGATTAATATTTCAGACAATAGCCAGTTTTCATTTGCACAGGAATTGCTGGCATACAGACTGACAGGCTGATACTTCATAAAAAGTAATTTTGCTGAGATGATAACCATTACCCTTATTCTAAATTCAAATTGACGAAAATACATTTCAATGCAGGGCAAGCAATTTTGCTACAACCATACGGCAAATTAAGTAAAATTTCTTCTAGCCAAATTTTCTTCTTATACTGTAATGAGGGATTTACTTTTCAATGCAGTTCATCCTGATATCTTCCTGGTCAACTCTGTCAAAAACAAGTTCTCTCAGGGAGTCTGGAAGAATGTCCATTGATGTGCCAAATGTATTGCAGAGATAGTCTTTCTGAAATGTACAATAAGATAAAAATAAAATGATTTTAGAAAAATTGAAAGATATGACATGTTATCGAAAATATGTGTGAAAGCAATCCCAATTAGTCAACAAAGAACTTTATTTTTGAACATTTTTGGATACGTGAAAATGCAAACCTTGAATTCATATAGATGTAATATTAGCACATCACTGTTTTTTCAAATAAACACTTTATCTTCACAAAAAATCACAAAAATTAAATCATATTTGAGAAAGTATTCAAAATTTATAGGGTAACAGTTTTTGGGTTACCTTTTATATCAAGGTATGCATTGCCATTTTTGACAATTTAGGCAAATCAAGCCATGATTTCTGTTTCTGACACCATTTACTTGTATACATTGTCACCTTAATAATTGGCTCATGGGTTTATATGCTTATACTTTACAAGTGCATGATATCATTAAAGACATTAATTGCAGGCATTATTTGTGGATACAGGGTGTCAAGTAAATATGTTCTCCCCTCCTTAGCTTTTACATCCACATCATGTTGGATGACTTTTTTCTGTACATGAAATCTGAGTTGTTCTTTAGCACATCATAACCAGGCTTCACAGAGAAACTCCACAAAAGTTTCAGATGACTAGCTCAACTAGATGCACTTTTATGCACAAAAGTTCTTCTCTTGAAATTAAGGGGGAGAACATATTTATTTTACACCCTGTACATTTGAAAATTCCGATCATAATTATCACTATAATCTAAAAACTTTTGATGGATACTACCATGGACTTTCTAGTAAACCCATGTAATGTCTGGACCATTTGATGCAGGGCATCTTGAATATTGATCTATTTTTCATCACAACACAGTTAAAGAGATAAAATGAAAGGTAACAACGTAAAAATGCTTACCCATGTAATGTCAGGTCCAGCTGGATGGAGGAGGGGGTGTGCCTTTAAACTCAACAGCCCAATATCCAACAGGGCTTGAGCTGCCTCTGCAAAGCCCTGTAAAAACAATTGATTATTTTCCCTTATAACACCAGTTAACTCTATTATTTCTCTAAGTTAAAACAACTATTTTGTAGGATCATCTTAATTTGTGATCAATTAATTCTAATACAAAACAGGGAATTAACATGCAAAATGTCACAACCTGCATTTTGTTACAGATGCCGGCCAAACACATAACACCATCCAACAAAAAAGTTGGAGATTATAACAATATGTCACCACTTTGCTATACAGCCATATAATTTGAAACATCGTAAAATCAACATTTTCTTACCCTATATCTGAGTGTGCCTCTAATGATAGTATGTGCTGATTCTATATCATATAGCTTGCCGTAGATTGTGGAGTCTCTGTTGGGGTAGCCCTCTAGGTGAAACCCTGGTAGGAATGTCTTTGGCTCAATCACGTTCAACAAGTGACCCTCGCCAGGAACGTCAATTACCTGAATATATTTGTACATATCAGTCACCATAGCAACTTCCTTGTACCCAGAATCCCAGTCTAGTAGTGAAAGTTACTACCCTCTTGCGATTGGATACACAATTTTAGAGGTTTGGTGCTGAATTGTACAGATGTGCTGTGTTACACCAGCTGTACTGTGCATTAAGCAGCTGTACTGTGCTTTACACCAGCTGTACTAGGAGTACAATCTCTAATATTTCTGTAGAAACTGCACAGGGAGATATTATTACATCTATCTCGACTAATTTTACAAACAATTGGACATACCTCTCCATCCTTCAAATATCTTGCTCCAGACAGACAGTTCATGAGAACACCCCTTGGACTCCAACTGTAGAATAAGTATGAATACTTTTTATTTATAAAATGATTCTACAATATACTGAGAGTATAACTTACAAAACATCCTAGAGGGACATATTATGGGTGTAGCAAGGCATAGAACCAAAGCGAAACTGAAATAATGGAGTCTGCAAATGATAGTATTATAATGAATTTTCCTCTTTTTTGCCCCACCTATTTTTTATTCCTGGTTATACTCCTGGCTATATCTAACACCGAATAGCCAAATACATGTACAGTAGAACATTTAATTCATAAATTGGAAAGTTTAATTGCAGTATGTATTACTAAATTATTATTTATAGGATATCCTATGATTTTGAGGAATATCATTTTTATCTACGAGGTGATATTGATATTTGCACGAGAGAGCGAAGCGAACGAGTGTATATATCAATATCACCTAGTAGATTAAAATGATATTCTGAAAAAAATCATAGGATGTTCTTATTATCCTACACTTACAAGGAGTGTACTGAATGTATAATATCATTGTAAAATGAATTTCATGCCAAATAGAGTCAATTTGGCGGGAAATCAACAAGCAGAGTATATCGTCACAATATCCTCCGCATATTGGGTTTTCCGGAGTATATCGTCACGATATCCTCCGCCCGGAGTATATCGTTACGATATCCTCCGGATATTCATTTTGCCAATAAATATCAAATTTATTTTTTCATGTTATTATACATTTAGTACACTAAGTGTAGGATAATATTTAGTATCACTCACTTGAACTTGTATCTGAGAGGGTTGTCGGAGAATTCTGGAGCAGGCAAACCTCCACAGTAAGAAACAAATGACTTTACCTACGAAAAAATTCACATTCTTGAAATAATTCAAAATTCAAATATGTCATCCAATACAGAAACAAGAAAAAAATTTAAGTCCTAAATAGTTAATATACACACCTTCTAAAATATCATCTAAACCAGACAATGATAGTTTGAAGCTATATGGCAAATCGTCAATTCAATTAGTCTTGCCTCGAGACTGTGTACTCCTTCTCTTGTGTACTTCACCTCCATGTGTTGGGAAGGTGAAGTACTTGGAGGGGGGGTTACACAGTCTTGAAGCTACTGTTCAATGATATGAAGATTTACCTTTCCACCTGCATCCCTGGCAATATCAAAGCACTCCATGGCTAACATGTGATCAATTCCTGGGTCGACTCCAACCTCATTAACAACTGTGATGCCTGCTTCGATAGCACTATAAACAACATGAGATGTAAGGTTATGTCTGAATCCCAAAAACAAGGAATATTAGATCATGGGGGATCTCACATTTTGCAATAATTCCAAAAATATTCATAAAAATGGACCAAAAAGAAAACCTAGTCTGGATCATGTTTTCTGAATTAATAACTGTAAACTAATCAATATTTGGATTCAAACATAAAAATGGTATTTTTCAAAGAACCAATAAGCTGTCACAAATCCAAAAAAAAGAACCATTGACATCACTCAATATGAAGAATGCATAATAGAAGACATTCATGTATTCATTCATGCATGAATTCGAGAACAGCTATGCTCCCACAGAGCATTGTCATATTTGAAATTTGAATAATGAATTGCCAGACACTGGCTCTTGTAGTTCCCCAGGGGTCCAATCATTTTCTCAAAAATACTATAGTACTATTGTTCTCAGATAACTGGAATTGAACTTATAGGTAAGGATCACATTTTTTATATTTCATATTTACTAAATATACATGAATGCTGACAATAAATAAAAATTTAAAGTAGAAGTATGTTACTTGAAATGTATGATATATTATTCATAATGAATGACTATTATAAATTCATAACTAGAATAGGACTAGAAGAAAAAAAAGTAGCAAAACAAATATACACAAATTAAGACAAAAAAGTAGTAACATACAATACCTAATGAACACAATATCATTAAAAACATGCTGAAACAATAACGCAGATGCGAGTAGGTTGTTACCAGATTCACCACCAGGTGGCTCGTTCGGGTCAGATAGCATGGCGGGTATAGTAGAAAGTTCCCTTTAACTTAAATTACATCTGTTTTAGTGGTTCAATTTTCATATAACCCTTATGTATCTAATAGTTATGCAAATTAAAATATGTCCAGTAAAAGAAAATGTTATCTGTCCAATACAATAAAAGATAATTCACTTTTTGTGATTTTGTAACATGGGGTCTATGGGGAATCAACCCGAACAAGAAGTCACATTTTCAAAAAAAATTAAATTTTCAAAGTTGATAGACAATTTTCGAAACCATATTTTTAGATGTACTTTTATATGCCGATTTCAAATATGACATCACTTTGAGTGAATTTTGAATATTAAATGACGTAAATCAAGATTATTTCTACTCGCATCTAGTCTATTGAACAAAGACAATTATAATTCCATAACCATTAATGTTAGTGTTGTCCTAATTAATAGTATGTTAGGAGGCAGTAACTGACAGAAAGTCCACGAGCCACAACAAGATTTCAATTCAATTTCAGATATAAATAAATATAAATAAAGTGCAACCTAGAAGGTCTAACTAAAGAAGTCCCATAAATGTGAGTCTGATTTGTGTTTTTTCTTATTTTTGAAGCAAATAGATTTGCTAATGTCAAATGTTAAAAATAAGAAAAAAATGCAAACCAACCCCACATTTATGTACACTTAATAATAGGCTACCAGTACTCATCTTTGATACCGAGATATAAGTTTTTGAGAAAATTTTTGCTTTTAGTTTAATCTCAATTCAAGATTCACACAGGCTGTAAATGTGTAACAATCAATCAATCAATTGTTCTTTGAAGTACATTATTTTCTCTTCTTTTAAATATGAATTCAATCTGATTACTCAATGTTTGAGAATTTAGTGATTTTATGAAGTTCTAAATCAATTTTTAAATAAATCGGTGTCACTTTGTGATATTCAATTATGACTAGGTCAGAAAGTCTACCCATCTTTAAAAATGCAGACTAGCTAACTTACGCATTGTTTAAGCGTAGCATGTCAGGATTACAGTAACTAGCCGTCACCATGTTAGTCTTATGTTTTACACATATCTTAGCCATATCTGCATGGAGTTGATATGGCAACAGGCTGTAAACATAGAGTGCTATGACAACAAACATTGTTGCTATGGTAACATATATGGTTTCTATGGTAACATATAGGGTTGCTATAATCGTGCTTCATACATGACAACAGTGTTCGGAATCTAAAGATCTGAAAGAAAACTACACTGCAAAACATGCATACGTGAACACCTTACCTGACTATTTTTTCAAAAAAAATAAAATGATATATCAAAGGAAATTTAAAAAATTGATCATTGAATTCTTTATTTCAGAATAAAATGTAAGATGCTCACTTTATACACATTCTACTGTACTGGCAAGACATGAGAGCATGCTAGAAGATGGAAAAATAAGAAGAAAACCTAAAAAATAATTCATAGTTATGAGCTACCATACAGGGATCATCTCAAATATCTTATTGAGCTCTGCATTTACTAAGTATATGTACATACGGCAAAGGGCGGAACAGTTAAAAAATTTATAAGATCACCCCTCATCATTTGAGATAATCCCCTCAGGAGAGCTAACCAAAGCCTATATATATATGATTACGAACACAACTATTACCACTTCACTACTTTTCATCTTATCAATGGCTAGGATCAAATTTTAGTGAGAGAAAATCCACACGAGATCAGACAAATTCAGTCCAAAGATGTTGCTTTATAGATTGCTTGTAAGATCCAAGCAAAGGTAAAAATAAATTCTATGTTTTTCTACACAGTCATTAAGTAACACTGTATCCTTGACTGTGATAAAATTCAATGCTATATATCTGATATTTAAGAATCGTTTTAGATAGCCCTGAATAAGATGAAAGTTGAGTGAAATCGTAAGCTGTACGTTGCATGCAGAGGTTTGTGGGGGCTTACTGTTTGTGCAACCTCATCATATCGGGGGTACAGTAACTGGCCGTGACCATATTGCACGTGTGTTTAATGCACAATGCGCAGATCTCAGCATGTAAACTGTACGGCAGCAAGCTGTAATGTAAATCAAATTGCTGTACACACATTTCTATGTATTTTCTGAATTTGCATACTCATAAATGTAAGTAGGTCACCTCTGGAGCTAGACAGATACATTTGTACCAGTATTTTTTAAACAAAAAAATTATAATGTTCCTAAATTGTTTGTCAATATCAAAATCATTTATCAATATCACCATGATTGTGATATTGACAAATGGCAAGAGAACTGCATTCATCATTTATCATTTATTTAGTTATTTTATGATTCAGCTCATGTGTTGAGTCAAAAAATACACTGGTCATTTAACATTGAATTTAACAGAGATTACATTTTATTTCGATTTGACTTAATATTCACTTATATTTTATTTAAAGTTTGATCTAAAATATGGCGGTAACCTTGAAATCTCAAAAGTTCATATTTAAGATGATGTCTGATGCCACTTCATTCAATTGTTAGTTTCCCTCTCTTTGTCTATAAAAGGAAACACATGCAAGTTGCTTTCCTACAGTGAAATACATGTATGACTGATATCAGAAAGAAATACATCTATTTAAATCTTAAAGTCAATACTTTAACAAACCAGAACTTAAAGTACACTGCAACTTTAACAAAATATGAGTTTAGTATTTCTGAGGTTATCATTGAAGAAAAAACTTTAATTTTGTTGGTTATGTAGTATGAAAATTTGGCATATTCTATCACATACAGTAAAACCTGTTTTAGTGAACACCTCTCTCTAGTAAACACCGGTCCCTAATGGACACGCTTTCTCCACACACTCTACTGACTTCTGTATAAATTACCCTCTCTGTCGTGAACACTATACACAGGTTTTACTGTATACTAGTATATATTTATTTCAACATATCAACATTATAAAAATTGATAATTCTTAACATGTATGAAAATTTTTCGATAAACACTTACCTTATGACAAGATCATGCTGTTTGATGAGTCCCTCAACCTCATCCTTGTTTCGCTGTGTGTCCAGTAACATTGGCTCAACGTTACGGAATTTATTGGCAAGAGCATCAGCAGATTCCTTCAAGTCGGACACTGTAAGATAAAAACAATTGTATATTATGTCATGTCTGAGGATGATAAAGGCAAGGTATGCCCAAAACACTGTGAGATACAAACAATTCTATATTATGTCATGTTTGAGGATGATAAAGACAAGGTATACCCAAAAACACAGTGAGATACAAACCATTGTAAATTATGTCATATCTGAGGATGATAAAGGCAAGGTATGCCCAAAACACTGTAAGATACAAACAATTCTATATTATGTCATGTTTGAGGATGATAAAGACAAGGTATGCCCAAAAACACAGTGAGATACAAACAATTGTAAATTATGTCATATCTGAGAATGATAAAGGCAAGGTATGCCAAAAACACTGTAAGATACAAACAATTCTATACTATGTCATGTTTGAGGATGATAAAGACAAGGTATGCCCACAAACACAGTGAGATACAAACAATTGTAAATTATGTCATATCTGAGGATGGTAAAGGCAAGGTATGCCAAAAACACTGTAAGATACAAACAATTGTAAAAAATTATGTCATGTCTAAGGATGATAAAGGCAAGGTATGCCCAAAACACTGTGAGATACAAACAATTGTAAATTATGTCATGTTTGAGGATGATAAAGGCAAGGTATGCCCAAAACACTGTGAGATACAAACAATTCTATATTATGTCATGTTTGAGGATGATAAAGATAAGGTATGCCCAAAACACTGTGAGATACAAACAATTGTAAATTATGTCATGTTTGAGGATGATAAAGGCAAGGTATGCCAAAAACACTGTGACATACAAACAATTGTAAATTATGTCATGTTTGAGGATGATAAAGGCAAGGTTTGCCCAAAACACTGTGAGATACAAACAATTCTATATTATGTCATGTTTGAGGATGATAAAGACAAGGTATGCCCAAAAACACAGTGAGATACAAACAATTGTAAATTATGTCATGTCTGAGGATGATAAAGGCAAGGTATGCCCAAAACACAGTGAGATACAAACAATTGTAAAGTATGTCATGTTTGAGGATGATAAAGGCAAGGTATGCCAAAACACTGTGAGATACAAACAATTGTAAATTATGTCATGTTTGAGGATGATAAAGGCAAGGTATGCCAAAAACACTGTGAGATACAAACAATTTTAAATTATGTCATGTTTGAGGATGATAAAGGCAAGGTAAGCTAAAAACACTGTGACATACAAACAATTGTAAAGTATGTCATGTTTGAGGATGATAAAGGCAAGGTATGCCCAAAACACTGTAAGATACAAACAATTCTATATTATGTCAGGTCTGAGGATGATAAAGGGAAGGTATGCCCAAAACACTATGAGATACAAACAATTGTAAATTATGCCATGATAGAGGATGTTAAAGGAAAGCTATGCCCAAAATATTTTTCACTGCTGCATCTAATACACAATATTTTCTTATATTTACATCCATTTGATTATAAAATATTTGGTGATATAAACACAGATAACAGCTTGTATAGAGATTTAACTTTAACCTCATATGATACAGTTAACTAATTATAGTTCATGAAATTCATGCAAATAAAAGGATGGAGCCCAGTTTTATTTAATTTAAACCAACAAAATAAATATGGCCTATGTGTGGTTTATCACATAAATATCATTGAGAAGGTTGACAGGCTCTAATCTATTATTGAGTTACTATTTTTCATACCTCATATGGTTAAGCATACTGATAGAACAACAGCGAACATTAATTCCAAACAACACATTACTTACCAAGCGTGACATGGTACTTGTCATCTCTGGTCAGGTATTCAATGACAGGTCCAGCAACAAACCCGGATCCAAGAACCAGGACACGTTTCTCTGCCTCATGCACAGCCTTCATTGCCTTGTGCTTTGATCTATCAACATAAGTGACATTGTCAATATATCTACATACGTTTAATTACATGTAGTTACATTTGTGGGCTCTGGATAAAACCATTATATTTTGTCAGTTTTTTGTACATCTTTAAAATTAAGCCAGTTTTAATTTGAAAAAATATGTAATTGAATTACATTTTGGGAATACATTCAAATATTCAACTGATCCCTCACATTGAAACATTATTGTAGATTGACTTGAGGCAAGTTAATAGATAAAAAATTACCTGCTAGTACGTCTGAGATTATTGATATATTCAAAGTTTGGAGTCAGTTTCCCATTACTGGCAATAACAGCCTGAAAACAAACACATTCAATTAACAGAATATACAGGATTCGAAATATGTAATAAATATAGTAAAACCTTTAAACCTATGATGTCCAAGGACCAATTGACATAATATTACACAAACATCTGCAAGTGGACACCTCTCAAGAGTGAAACAATTTTTAGAGGTACCAACATTTTAACTGTATTATAGCATGAGATTTGAATGTCAGCATAAATTGGAGCCAACTGTAGACCGAAAAATATAATTTTACAGATTGATAGAAATTTAGGAAACTTACATTTTTTACAACAGGCGAGACATCAAACTCGTCAAAGGATGATGTGGCATCAGATTTAAGCTGAAACAAAGGAAATGTTATTTTAATATAGTGTCAAATAGGACACTGATCAGTTATACTGATGTAATATAAATGGAAATTAATTGTCCTAAAGGCACCTCTTAAATAAACAAATAATGAAGTAAAAAATCAGCAAACCATTGAAAAAGTGAAGATGAGGATTTCAAAAAAGGGTTGAGCTAAAATGTTCTGAATCTAAATGTCTGTGAGCTTGCCAAAATTGAGATCCTATATCTGTTATAGACCCCTCCTTCTAAATGATGAATTATTTGTTTCTATATGTACCTACCATGTCACTGACATAGGGTAGAAGGAGCCCTCCAAAGAAATCAGTAGATTCCCTTGGGATCTGCGTTGGCATGTTATCTATAGAACATACCAAAACACCATTTCCTTTGAAACTGAAATCATAAATATAATAGATCAATTCACCAGTGTGCTGCACAGTTTATGACTGAGTGTGGCAAACCCATGGGTAATATGTCACTTCAAGACATATAAGGTACAAGGTACGTGAAATCATAAGGGGCAACTGGGTCCACAAATAAGGTAGACCCTTAGGAATGGGTCTCTGATCTGATAATACGTCATTGTTTCGATCAAATAAATCTAAACGTCATTTCTATCAGTTAATTTGTGATGGAATATCCATAAAATGAAATTATTTGTGTTTATGGTCAAGAATTTATCACCTTTTCCTGAGTAGCACTAATCGATTTCTTATATTTCCTCCTTCCAACATTAGGTATTTCGGTAAATTACATCTTTAGGGCTGTATATATTCCCCAATAATAATCAGATGTAATTAGTGCATTTACCTTTCCGTTTCCATGTGATCATCTGCATCATAAAGGCAGAAAGGGGAGTCAATATTAGTGCATTCTCTCACAAACTCCATTGAGCCTCCTGGGTCAGCAGATATATCACAAATTGCCAGCAATCTATAAATATGTTATTTAAATCATTTTCCATCCATAACTTTAAATCCAACACCTTTTGATAAATCAAGAAAATAAGTGACTATACCAAGTTTTTAACATTGAAGACTATGGCAGTCTGGCCAAACCAAAAACAACCCAGTGCTGCCATTTATTTATCCAACTCTATCTACATGTACATGTATATCGCAAATGGTCCATTGAGCGAAAATCTGTCAATAAAGCCATTGTCCCCCATGGTGCATTTTACTCCCCTTTGATTGAACAGTTTCTCAACTTACTTGTGGGGAAGATGAGGGCAGCCTTCACTCTGTGGTAACCATGGTGAGCTTTGGGGTTGAAGGAGATTCTTGGCATCAGGAATTGAGATTAATCTTGGAGAATTAGGTGCCCAGTAAATGCCATTGATTATAACAGAAGCATGTGGAGCAATCTGAAACCACAAGGTCCTTCAAATTTAAGAATTGTAATCACAGAGGTCTATTGTACATTTATGTATCTTCGACTTTCAAGATTGTATCATCAATTCATATGCTACTGTGGCACACAATATCAAGGTTGTGCCATTGATTCACATGCCAATGTGCCATGTGATATTCAAATAGGTGACAATATTACATCTACGTAATTTCAAAGTCTACAATGGAGTCTATAATAATCATTCTTTAATTTATAAAGAACAAAAAATTGACATTTGAGTAAGACAGCAAGATAGAATGTCTAGCAAATACAGAGCTTATTGGCCAAACTAATTGTGCGATGTCAAGTAAAATCGAAGACATTTCTGAAAAAATGCTTTCCTGCTTATGTTTTTTCTGATATAAAATAAAGTATACATTAAGAAGACATGGGTGTATTTCCTTAGATACATCTAGTGTTAGGAGAATTAGTAATGAATTGTAAGTAATCCAATGTTTTTGATAAAGTTGGTGAGAAAAATTATTTACCTTATTACTAAATGTGGAGACATATCGTTCGGGATGAGAGTCATATTCATCAGGACAGAAACGTTTTCCTTCTTTATGCACCAGATGGTCCTCCCTACGTACTACACACACATACAGCTTGTTTGTTGCTGAAATAGAACAGGATTATTGCGTAAATCATATACATGTACAAGATATCCATAGAGCTTTAAGGTAGTTCAGTACTCCAGCAGAAAAGTTTGTGCAGATGCCATTTCAATATTAAATTCAATTTAAAATATATTGATTTTGAACTATTTTTCTATTAAAATGTACATTATATTCAAATAAAATTTTGAAAAACATCTCCATATCATTATTCATATGGTGTAACAAAGAAAATCCTCATTAAGCAGATTTTCTTTAACACAGACATTAGAGGAATTTGTAAAAACATTTCTTACATCCATGTTTGGCTACTTTATGTAGATGCTTAGGTTCAACATACTCATGTGGAAGTTCTTGGAAGACCTCTTGAGCACCCTGCAATAAACAGTTATAAAGATCAGGAAAATACTTCAAATTAAGCTATTCCTGCAAAGAAGTTGATACTTGCACGAAGCTTTATTCACTAAGAAATCATGATTATTTTCATTTTGGGTCAAAACCCAACAGCTTTTTTTTAAAAATGCCTTAATTCATTTTTTGCTTTTTATTTTAGCATTTCTGAAACTGAGAACATCAACCAGACCATATATAAGGCGGTCAAAAATTGGGTTAAAAATTTATTAATGAAGTTTTTAAATGTTCATTTATTAAGTATGCCCCTTTCTTATAAAAGCTACAAGACAAACTCAAAGATAAGTGTTTGAAGAGCTTTATTTTTAAACGTCATTCACTTATTTTTACGGGGCCATATGTCCAGCACAAGGTCAAGTGTGTTTATTCTTGTAACATTTAAAAATAGAAAAAATCATGTAAATATGAAATTATTCAGTCAATGCAACATAGTACTACATCATACATGGAAATTCAGGGATGAGTCATTTTTATAGATTTTTACATGAAGAAACCATGGTTATAAAATTTCTAGCAAAGCTGTACTGTCAAAGCAATGAGGCCAAATGGATGGTTTATGGGTCTGAACCCATTTGCTCATGATGGCTGCATGCAGCATGCATGATCAGAAACCTCCAGTTGTCAGACAGGCAATGTCCTCACGGAACAATAAATCATCTGTTTTTTAGTGAAATAAAGCTCTTACTATTCTGAGACTAAGATGAAAGATATACAGTGTATGTTTACCTCTAGCCTATATACTCTAAGAGCGAGGAGGAAAATTCTTAATAAATGGAGTATAGTTGGTTTGGCAGCATTTTCAGTTAGGGGGAAGTCTTGGATGAAAATTGTACCTAGGTGATAGCTTCACAGAGTGGTACATAATTCTTTTTTTTCAGGGGTTAGCCCCCCACCCCCCAAAAACACCCCACCCCGGTAAAATAATTTTTTCATTCTCAATAACTTTAGATATCTTGATGTTTATAAGTTACATGCATAGACATTATATATATGAATCATTTGAAAAATAAATAATGCCAATCACTCCTACAGAATTTGAATAATAGTACAAAGTGTGTACCCCAGGGGGCAAATTCGTGACCCATTTTCTTACTATTTAGAGCCTCACTTTTCAATCAGACACTGGAAGACATTGGAAAAATTCACCTGAAGTGCCCAATAGCAGACCTATTAGCCCTGAAAGGTTCAAATTAATTGAATCAGTATGAGTCGAGAAAAAAATTGTTGATTTTTTGAAAAATTTGACATTTTTGAGAGATGTGATTTTGTGTATGACTATAGCTGAGGCCTATGGTTTCTAGATCTATCCCTCTTTGATAATAAATATGGTTTTGAAGTATGGAACTAAGATTTAAAAAATAATTAAAATGGGTTTTAAGGAAGTTAAAAGTTTTAAACAAGTTCAAAATTCGAAGAATTGTACAATATCAGGTCTGAATTTACGAATTTTAGGTAAGACCTTGGATGAACCTTAGATTTTTTACATCTTTCCCCTTTTGATGATATTTATGGTTTTGTAGTATGGAACTAAGATGTACAAAATAATTTAAATGGTTTCTAAGGTGATTTAAGGATTTTAACAAATCCAAAATTTGAAGAATTGTACAATATAAGGTCTGAATTTATGAATTTCAGGTAAGACCATGGATGAGCCTAATGTTTTTTACATCTGTCCCTCTTTGATGATATGTATGGTTTTGTAGTGTGAAACTAATGAGTAAAAATAATTTAGATGGATTTAAAGGTTTAAGGATTTTAAATGAGTCCAAAATTTGAAGAATTGTACAATATCATGTCTGAATTTATGAATTTCCGGTATGACCTTGGACGAGCCTTACGTTTTTTACATCCTTCTCTCTTTGATGATATTCATGGTTTTATAGTGTGGAACTAAGATGTAAAATATAATGTAGATGAATTTTAAGAAGGTTTAAGGATCTTAATGAGTTCAAAATTTGAAGAATTGTACAATATCAGGTCTGAATTTACGAATTTCAGGTAAGACCTTGGATGGGCCTTATATTTTTACATCTGTCACTCTTTGATGATATGTATTGTTTTATAGTGTGGATCTAAGATGCAAAAATGATTAAGATGGTTTTGAAGAGTGTTTAAGGATTTTAATGAGTCCAAAATTGAAGAATTGTATAATATCAGATCTGTATTTTTGAATTTCACGTATGACCGTGGACGACCCTTTTGTTTTTTACATCTATATTTTATATCCCCCTTTGATGATATTCCTGGTTTTATGGAATTAAGTATGGAACTAAGCTGTAAAATATAATTTAGATGAATTTTGAGAAGGTTTTAGGATTCCAACAAGTTTTGAAGAATTGTACAATATCAGGTCTGAATTTGCAAATTTTAGGTAAGACCTTGGATGAGCCTTATATTCTCTACATCTTTCCCTCTTGGATGATATGTATGGTTTTGTAGTGTGGAACTATGATGTAAAAAAATAATTTAGATGCATTTTAAAAAGGTTTAAGGATTTAAACAATTTGAAGAATTGTACAATATTAAGTCTGCAATTAACAAATTTCAAGTATAACCTTGGTTGGCCCATATGTTTTTTAAACCTATCCCCTTTTCATGATATATTTGGTTTAGTTGTTTGGAAATATGTAAAACATAATTTAGATAGGTTTTAAAGAAGCTTAACATTTTAAACAAGTTCAAAATCTTGGCGTATTGTACAATATCATGAATTTAAAGTATAATCTTGCTTGGCCCTTATATTTTTAACATCTATCCCTTTTTGATGATATATGTATATATTGTTTAGTTTAGCTAATATGTAAAACATAATTAAGATGGGTTCAAATTTTACGAATTGTACAATATCAGAGCTGATATTAATGAATTTTTGGTATTACCTTGGACGAGCCTTATGTTTTTTTACACCTATCCCTTTTTGATGGCATATATGGTTTAGTAGTGTTGATCTAAGATATTAAACATAAGTTAGACAGGTTTTAAACAAGTTTAAGGTTTTAAAGAAGTTAAAAATATGAAGAACTGTACAATAACAGGTCTGGAATTTATTAATTTTAGGTATAACTGTGGATGGCCCTTGTTCGTTTTTTACATCTATCTCTCAATGATTATATAATATAAGGTTGGTAATATATAGTAGTATGGAGCTAAGAGGTAAAACATAATTTAGATGGGTTTTGAGAAGGTTTAAGGTTTTAAAGCTGTTCAAAACTTGACAAATTGTACAATATCATATCTGACATTAACGAATTTCAGGTATATATCTCTCTATGATGATATATATGGTTTAGTCGTATGGAACTAAGATGTAAAACATAATTTAGATCGATCGGTTTTAAGGAAGTTAAAAGGCAGAATCAGATCTATAGGGGTGATAAAATTACAAGCAACATGTACAATTCACCTACCAATCTATTCCTTACAATCTAAAATACAATACCTTTAAAAAGATTCATGATGTGTTAAAAACTGATGAAGTTATAATGGATTCAAAGTGCAAAAATGGGGGAAAAGTGTTTAAATACTCCCAAAATAATAAGAATGGTAACCATTCTTATTGAAAAATAATACATTATTGTAGAAATCTTTAGTTTTCCTACACTAAAGTGTGCACTTTGGGGATTTTTAGCAAATGGACATGAAAAGGAATGACATAAGCCAGAAATATTCAAAAATTTAAACAATTTTTTGTTTGGCTGCTTGCTGGATCTGATTCTCTCTTTAAGGTTTTCAAGAAGTTCAAAACAAAACAAATTGTACAATATTAGGTCTGAAATTCTTGACCTCTTTGATGATTTACATGGTTTTGTAGTGTGGAACTAAAATGTAAAACAAAATTTAGGAATTTTGGGTTTTAAGGAGGTTTATATTTATTACTTATTGCTAAATGATTATCTAGAAATTATCATCATTTTGCATTTTTTATAGTATTAAAAACAGGGTAACCATCAATATTTCATAAATTTCATTTTTATTGGGATCAACTTCGGACTATTATAACTTTTCACCTCTACCCCCAATTACCTTGATCTTTACACCAAAGGGTGTCATTTATCTGTGGCTCAAGCTAAAAGTAATAATGATGGCACAAGAAAAACTTGCAAAAAGTACCATTTAAAAAACAGAGGGGTAGGTCAATTTGACCCCCCACCCTCCCCTGCAGACATTAGGGTTAAACTTCCTTAAAACCCAAAATTCCTAAATTATGTCTTACATTTTAGTCCCACACTAGAGAACCATGTAAATCATCAAAGAGGTTTAGAATGTACAGAGCATGAGGATAATTCAAATCTATACCTGAAATTGTTAATTTCAGACCTGATATTGTACAATTTGTCAAGTTTTGAACCTCTTCAGAACCTAAAACTTCCTTAAAACCCATCTAAATTATGATTTACACTTTAGTTTCATACTACAAAACCATATATTTTATCATAGAGAGATATATGTAAAAAACATAAGGCTCATCTAAGGCTATACCTGAAATTTGTTTATTTCAGGTCTCATATTGTACAATTTGTCAGGTTTTGAACTTGTTTAAAACCTTAAACCTCCTTAAAACCCATTTTAATTATGTTTTACCTTTTAGTTCCACACTGCTAAACCATATATATCATCAAAAAGGGATGTTAAAACATAAGGGCCAACAAAGGTTATACTTGAAATCTGTTAATTTCAGATCTGATTTTGTACAATTCACCAAGATTTTGAACTTGTTTAAAACATTTAGTTTTTTTAAAACCCATCCAAATTATGTTATACATATTATTTCAACACTACTAAACCAAATATATCATGAAAAAGGGATAGGTGTAAAAAACATGAGAACCAACCAAGGTTATACTTGAAATGTGTTAATTGCAGACCTAATATTGTACAATTTTTCAAATTTTGAACTTGTGAAAATCCTAAAACCTCCTTAAAATCCATCTTAATTGTTTTTTTACATCCTAGTTCCACACTACAAAACAATACATATCATCAAAGAGAGACTGATGTAAAAAATATAAGGCTTACCCAAGGTCTTACCTGAAATTCATAAATTCAGACCTGATATAGTACAATTCTTCAAATTTTGACTTGTTAAAATCCTTAAACCTTCTTAAAATCCATCTAAATTATATTTTACAGCTTAGTTTGTTACTAAAAAACCATAAATATCATCAAAGAGGGACAGATATAAAAAAAACATAAGGGTCATCCAAGGTCATACCTGAAATTCGTAAATTCAGACCTGATATTGTACAATTCTTCAAATTTTGGACTTATTTAAAACTTTAAACTTCCTTAAAACCCATTTTAATTATTTTTTACATCTTAGTTCTACACTTTAAAACCATATTTAACATCAAAGAGGGATGGATCTAGAAACTATAAGCGTCAGCTATAGTCATACACAAAATCACCCATCTCGAAAATGTCAATTTTTTCAAAAAATCAACAATTTTTTTCTCGACTCATACTGATTCAATTAATTTAAACCTTTCAGGGCTTATAGGTCTGCTATTGGGCACTTCAGGTGAATTTTGCCAATGTCTTCCAGTGTCTGATTGAAAAGTGAGGCTCTAAATAGTAAGAAAATGGGTCACGAATTTGCCCCCTGGGGTACACACTTTGTACTATTATTCAAATTCTGAAGGAGTGATTGGCATTACTTATTTTTCAAATGATTCATATATATAATGTCTATGCATGTAACTTATAAACATCAAGATATCTAAAGTTATTGAGAATGAAAAAAATATTTTACCGGGGTGGGGTGTTTTTGGGGGTGGGGGGCTAACCCCTGAAAAAAAAGAATTATGTACCACTCTGTGAAGCTATCACCTAGGTAGAATTTTCATCCAAGACTTCCCCCTAGCTGAAAATGCTGCCAAACCAACTATACTCCATTTATTAAGAATTTTCCTCCTCGCTCTTAGAGTAATATGCATAAATGGAGATTATACATTAAAGATATACATGTAAAACCTGTTTAAGTGGAAGAGCTTCGGTACGTCAAAAATGTGTTCCACTTGGGAGGTGTTCCACTTATATACGTTCATTTAACATTAAGTCAGTTGGTCTTGGGATTCAAAAGTGTTCCACTAACAGAGGTGTTCAACTTCTAGAGGTTTAAGGAAAGTAAAGAGGTATTTTCCTGCAGCATGATGGCCAAATTAATTTATTTTGAAATATGATTTTCAGTAAAATATTACTCAAAATGTGCTGATTCTAAATTGTGATGATCTTTTTACTTTTTTCATGAAACTATAATATAAACCCCCTTTTTATATTCAAACACTCCCCTAAGATTCATCTAAAGCTTTTATTAGTTCCTTTAAGTGCAATATATGGGCTGGTAAAATAATATAAATGAACACAGTCAAGGATCCAGGTTAAGTAGAGCTGCATAGTAAAAGTTTCTCAATGAGTTGTTTATGGTATTTATGTCAATGCACTTCAGGTTAAAGTAGTTCAATGTTTTCAATGCCGCTGATGTGGAGCTAGGAACTATGACCTTCAATTTACTATTTAACTATCAATATACCAAGATAATACAATATCTGTCAAAATGTTGAAGATTCAACCGAAAGGAGGAGGGAAATTAGCGCAACAGATTTTGGACAGTCATATGTTGGATTTTGGCCATTTTCTGAGGATTTAAACAATTGCATATGTTAGGCCAATGCATTACCTCCAGGAAAATCACTTCTAGAGATGATAAAATAATTTCGACTTTGAGACAGGGTAGATGCAAACAACCCACCCACATGTTGAAAATCAGGAAAACATTTCAGAAAAACATGTGGGTGGGTTGTTTGCATCTACCCTGTCTCAAAGTCGAAATTATTTTATCATCTCTAGAAGTAATTTTCCTGGAGGTAATGCATTCGCCTAACACATGCATCTATTAAAATCCACATGAAATGGCTAAAATCAAACATATGACTGTCCAAAATCTGTTGCGCTAACTTCCCTCCTCCTTTAGGAAGTTATTCCAAATTAGAAGGTCACATTTTTGGGGTCACTGTGTACTTTTAAATTCATTACTTATATCTTAATGATCTCTCTCTATTATGGGAGTTTAATATAAACTGAGTAATCTGATTATTGGCAGAAAATACTGTTTCAATATGCAAATTGGATATAGGCTTCATCGAGAACTTTTTTTTTCTTACATGGGTATGGCTGACTTCTTGTAAGGGCAAGTTAAATGCTGAGGCAAAAGCTATAGTAGGTTTGTAGTTAATAGCATAACATTGTAGCAAACTAAACAACTGTTTTGACACAGAAATTGGATGTTTAACAAATAAGGTAAACCTTGCAAAAATTCAGTTTTCATTTTCCAATAAGATTCAATGTGAACAAATATTAAGATTCAATGTGAACAAATATTTTATTTTATATGATAGACATGACCTTAGAATCAATATTTTACAAACATTTATGGGAATTCTCAATTTAAAATCCAAGGGAGTATAAAACAACAAATTCATTCATAAATGTTTGAAAAATATTGATTGATTGTATATAGTCATGCCTTTAACTCTTTTAAGTCTGAAAACAGTGCTCAGTTTGTTTATGTACACTGTACAATTTGGCCATAATATACCTGTAGTTAAACCCTCAATGCTGCTCAGTCAAAATTTTTTTATTTTTTTAACGCAAACCTTAGAATGTACATAATGGTCAGATACTCTGAATTGGCAAACAGGTTAAAAATTATCCAAAAATTGACTGTTTGATTGTTTGAAAAGTAAAAAGGAGGTCAAACTCTTGTTAAGGATAGTTTTAAGAGTGTTATTAAAGTGAAATCTCCGTCAACGAGATTCCATAAATTCCTATTTAACTGACTGTAAAGGACAAACATACAGAAGTAGGCAAGACATGTTTTTAAGGTCATCTTTCAGGCCAAAATTAGGGATTAATAAGATGGTATACCGTCAATACTTCTCAACACTTAACTGCCAAAATAATGTTCTTCCACTGTAAACCTTGACCAACAGTTGACCTTTTGAGAGGTCAATAGTAAAAGTGTATAATTGATACAATCCACATACCTGTGAGACATTGCCAGAGCCTGTGAAGACAAAAGTGAGTGGTCCAATGGACTTAGGCATCATATCAAGGGAGATTTCATAACCTGCGTCCCTGATGGCTTGTTTAGCCATACTGCTATTGCGGTAATTATGTGATGGACCAATGAACTGTAAAAGAAAAAAATTGAAATTGATAATCATCTCAAAAAACTGTCAATGAGTAGTTCTACACTTAGAATAGATGCAGATCAATGGTGTAAAAATGAAATATATAAGTGTAAAGCCATCTTGGAAAGTTATCAGTAAATGCTATCAATTCACTATTGTGATAAAGGAGTTGGGTAAACAAGGCCATTTTAAGCCCCACCTGATTTTCAAGTTTTCTCTTTATTTTATTAATCTATGTGACATATGTGTTTCAAAAATGTATGAAAATTTAGGTCAAGGTCATATTCCTCAGGTCAAGGTCAAATTAAAAAATCCATTATTTTCTACCAAAATATACCTTTTTGGTTAAAATATCACAAATATCTGTAGGAATTTAGTCTCATAGAGGTTGGAATTACAATATATAGTAAATTGGCAATTTGCCAATAATGAGTTATTTATATTAATATATTCCGCCCTTCCCACGCAACACTGAAAGAGAACAAAAGTACCTAAAATAATGAAAATACTTTATTATTTTTAATTCATTTAAATTCAGAATATACATTTCATGATTTTCCTCTGCCAATATCATATTTTCCCTCAGGATAAAATTCATATTCCATCCCTCCCATTATATAACCTCTATGTATTCAATAGCAATATCACCCAATTCAATATCGCCCAAATATGACCCAGATAATGTCCTAATATCATGGCAACATCAACCAATTGTCAATCAAATGTCACTCTATATCAATCCAAAATAACCCAAGTATTGGCCTCATATTATTTAAGTAACAGTCCAATATCAACCCTCTTATTTACCAAATATCACCCAATTATTCTGATTGTAATAATATCCCACTGTAAATCCAATATCAGCCAAATATGAGCCAAATAATGGACCCAATATGATAGCGATATCACCCCAATATCAATCCAATATCACCCAAATATTGGCCCAATGTGATAGCAATATCACCCAAATATCAAGCAAATATTGGCCCAATATCAATCCAATATCACCCAAATATTAGCCCAATATTATAGCAATATCACCCAAATATAAGCCCAATTCGATAGCAATTTCTGACAAATATCAATCCAATATTAACTTTATATCTGCCCAATTACCAACATATTGCCATTACATAAGCAATATCAAAAAATATAAGTTCTGATATCAACCTAATATCACAACAATCTCCTCCCAAATCAAGCTTATATTACCTCAATATCACTTCTATTATTAGTTGCAATAGTCTTGACTTGTGAAGCTAAATCTTCTGTAACCTTTCTCCGTTTTCTAGGAGAATTTACCTGCTTCCTACATATGCAGCATGAATAGCATTTGGCCATTTTGAATAATCAACAAAAATGGCAGGCAAAATTTTCTATAAAGTTCTAAAATTCACATCGAGCATAATAAGTCTCCATCAAAATTATTCTTTGTATGCAACAATATAACATTTATGTAACTAAAGAAGCACTTATTAGAGTGGAGACTTGTTATGCTCTATGTGAAAACACTCAAAGGATTTCTACCTCCAGTGAATAAAAATGTCACCCAGACTCAGCATGAAATGTCCTTTCAAAGCTTTACTTACCTCTAAACTGTACATATTGTTTAAATCAATTGTATGTATGGATCAAATAAATATATATTTACATAATCCTGGACAGATAAATCAAAAACATTCATTCATAGCTGAGTACATTGGAATTCATCAAGAGGGTTGTAAAATATGTGAATTTTTTTCCTTCTGGCCCCCACCCTCTTTGAAGGTCTCCAGACACCGTAACAATTTTTTCTAAATTTTTTAAAAAATACTACCCAAAAAAATAGACTTCAATCTATGCATTTCTGATGTTTTTTTCTCCTATTCTTAAAAAAAGTTTTTTCACACTTCAATTGGGGCACTCTCTGTTGCTAGTTTACCCAACTCCTTTGCCCAACTTTTTTTGCCTCACATATTGAGGCAAAAATACAAGTCTTTAAATGCATAGAAGAATAGTACAATTTATAAATCCATATCTTGTCTCATAATTTCTACAAAATAAATGAGTTTCAAATATCTACAACAAAAATTTAGCTTAACATTTGATAATCCTATAGTTCTCATCTTAACAAAGTTACTTCTCCAGAAACAACCGATTTAACGTACCATAAAGGGTGTGTGATGTCCAAGAGCCAATAGTCTCAAACCTAAGCCATGTAAAATGTTAATCATTCCTGCTACGCCCGCATATTTCCCAAATGCCACAGTTCTCTGACCAGATTCATCGCACATTTTTTCATAGTCAATCAGACGAATATTCTGCAACAAAAAGTACCAAACTTAATAAAAAATCATAATATATAAAAAATTATAATATATTTTTTATTGTCGGTTTATGGTTATACCAGGGGAAGAAATAAACACCATTCAATCTTTTTGATTTTTTCAAGGTGTATATCAACTATATCGTATGGTTACAAACTATGTACATTCGGGATATACAATGGATAACAACACAAGTCTTGGTAATGGTGTTAAAATCATATCTGTCTATATGAGATGTCTATGTGAGATGTATCCAAAATGGTTTGTCAACCGAGACAGATCACAACCTTGCTGAGTAGCGACTAATACTGCCAGAATACTGGAACCGGGAGCTTATATGCATTATTATGAGTTCAGTTAACTTACCTTTTCAAGAACAGCATCCAACATGGACATATTTGACTCTTGAGCCTTGATTGTATGTGAGAAGAAGACATACGTGCGGTCGGGTAGCAGGAGGTCTATGGGTACTTGTTTCACACCCACTACCACGGAGGCTTCAGATATATCTTCCTGGATGACTGCCCCAATGTCGGAATATGACTAAATAAGTATAAAGAAAGTAAATGACACAAACAAACAAAACATTGACAATGTGAACACAGGTAACTACCTGGTTCCAATCACAAATGTGTACATACAAGAGTTGATCCAAAAGTTTTGCATCGTTTGCTCTAAAAATCTTAATTTTTTATGAATATTATTCTTATGTTTGTTACAGATGTCTAAACAAAAGTGAACACTGAATATCGGACACAGAAACTGTAACAACATAGATGGAGCTATAAGGCAGGTAAGGTAACTGCCTGAACAAAATTTACACAAAATATTTCCAGAAAGTAATTCCAAAAGATCTTTTCAACCTAAATAGTGAAAATTGTTCTAACAATATCTAATTTTGCCAACCTATTTTTATAGATCTCTGCTTTTTGTGGAATCTCTTGTTAAACTAAGCTGTGGAAAATTCACCATATTGAAAAAGAGCATTGCGTAAATAGGAATATGCTTTTTTATGTTTCCTCCTTATAGTTATATTGATACGCCAGGCAGCTGATATCTCTTGTTAGGGTATCATAACCTCGAGTCAACATTAATTACGGTAAAATATGTGAAAACACCTTGCTAGTCCAAATCTAAACAGTTTTTTCTGATCCCATTTCCTCCCATTGACTCCCATGTAAAAAGAACCTTGAAATGTGAACAGCTCCCAATTTGAACAGTGAACATATATTTGAAAAATGAACCTGCCTAATCTTAATTTTAATCTTTTAATCTTAACTTTTCATAAAATATAACATGTTTCATACAAAACTGCTCAAAGAATTTTTTAAATCACTGATTTATTATATCAAAATATTTAGAAGAACATTGAATGTCTATTCTAGCTTGACTAATAAATTCATTTGAATCAGATTTTCATACTTTTGGAATGCCATATAAAGCTATGTGGTCATTGGAACTATAAATATTAAATATATGAGAATGTGTCCAGATCTTCAAAATCAACAATCTCGCAAATGCAAAAAACTTGAAATGTGAACACCTTTTAATCCAAACACTTTAAGCCAGTCCTAATGGGTTTCGGAATTAGACAGGTTTTACTGTATAATCATTTGTGATTTAATGTTAAAAGTATATTCAGCTTTCATTGTATGAGTATGCATGTCATTTAAAGGAGCTGCAATAAACTTACATTATTTGTTTGCCAAAGGCTGCATAAGGGCATACGAGAGAATGGTTGTGTTTTATGGAGATTACAAAGTCATAGTAAAAATAGAAAAGACGTATAATCAGACATTCAGTCAACACGTCAATGTCTTCAATGTCAACATGTCAAGTTTTAAGAGTTCTGCACTCCTCAGTAAACAGTGTTATGTCTCAGCAATTATGTACCGGAAGGTGTTGAATAAACGGTTTATCCCTCCAATCCTTAGTCATTTAGGGGGGTCTGGGGAAAACTTTGAAATTTGGTTGTATTTGGAGCGAATTTGCAACCATCTGGTACGCCTGTGCGTACCCAGCGTACCGGGCGCTACGCCAATGTTAGTCCATGGAGAAATTTCCATGAGAACTGTCCTCAATCTGCTCACATAATGAATTATCTCCAACCTTTTCAACATCTTATTGATTAATTCAGTGACCGATATGTTCACAGCAAAAATACCACCAGGGACTAGATATATATCTTATTAAATTTCTCCAAAACATGCTCATAATATTTTTCATAATTTTGGTGCAGATGAGGTTGAAAGTGCTAAGTTGGTACAAGCCTACTTTCAAAATAAGTGGGTACAGCACCCTTTTGGTTCAATAGAGAAGATCACTAAAGCTGCCAGATATATGATCGTACCTTCATTGGGTAGGCTCTCCTGTTAGAGGGCTGGACTAGAACTTTTACTCCACTACGGACTAACTTTCTGACATGTTTTGGAGCTAGTGGGGCTCGCCTCTCCCATACTGAATTATCCTCCCTTCGAATCGCCATAACTCCTGGCACACCAGCGCTGGAACTTCGTTCGCTGGATATAAGACGTGACAGCTGCCATCTTGAGTATTGTAATGTTGGCTTGACAAATGCTCGGGAATGTGCTCGCAACATAATCTGAAGAAAATGATGTATGATAAGATGTGGGTCTGTTTTTAATACTACTTTTGACGATGGTTTTTCTGGAGAGAGGATACAAAGGTTACATTTTTCGAGTTTATAAACACACACAAATGTAAACCTTCTCGTCTTTTGATTATCTCATTGCAATCGTATTCCGGTCTTAGGAGCATTCAATCCCCGGGATTCAATCGAAGCTCATGTTGGATTTCAAAAGTAGAAATAAAGTGCTATAGACACAAAAATCCAGATATTTTGAATCTGGCATCAACCTGTACTAAAAGTTGATCAGTGCCCCCTGGCGGGAGCCGGCCATGGGCCCAACATTTTTTTCCCGGGATTTTTTTCCTGAATTGAAATGTGACCCCCTTGCTATTTTTTGGATCCGCCAGCGTGACTCCCCCACCTTTGGTGCACCGATGACTTATAAAGCAGAAAACAAAATAACCTTCCGATGATTTGTGTCTCGGCTTCCAAACAACGTTGTAAAAATGTAAAATTGAGAAGGAATAAATCAACAAAATTCAACGCTTTAAAAATCATTATTTTCAAAATAAAATAGCCTAAAATGTGCAATGGATATTCATGAATGACATCTCATATGATAATCAGGTTTCCCCATTCCTACATTTGTACATTAACGAGTAAAAAAGAGAGTATTTTACCTGTTTACTTAGTCGGCATTCACGTTGTTGATTAAGAAGCTAACCAATCAAATCGAAGCATTTTAGACCAGCCTTCTTCACTGTACGAAGCGCGGTCATAATGCCCTCTATATAAAGAGGGCAGCACCTGTTTGTTGTTTGTTGTTATCATTTTATGGATTGGCGTATATGCTTTAGCTATGCGAAACTTTAATAGAGAATATTTTAGACTGATATTATTTGGCGAACTTTAGAAATACAATAAACATTGTATTGTCTGTGCAAACAGAGACATATAAATCATGGAACTTGTCTATTAAAGGGGGTAGTATTTTCATCTCGGTATGTTTTCTCTGTAAATTGGGATCCTTATTACTTGGGATACCGGGGAGCTAGACATTTATGATTATATTACAAGTACACAGATGACGAAGTCCGTCCGAAGGATTTCACAAGAGGAGGGATAAGGCGTGGGGGCTTTGCGTAAGGATGGGTTGTGCCGCCTATATAGTCACCCACACGCGTCGATGGTGCGTAACGCCGCAAGCTAGGCGGGGCTGGGTTATGCGTAGCCAGCTTTCAGTCAGGGGGGGGGGGTGCATGCGATCGCCAAAAAATCGGTTTACAGACAGTCAGGGGGTGGCATTGTGGCATAAACAAGCCAAAAATCAGATTTATTTTGAATTTTACAAAAATTGATGCAACTTCCTTCAGAATTGGGCTAGGATCTTCCATAAAAAAATCCGAGTCATGGTTTTATCTTTATTGGTCAATGTGATCGCACCCATCGCACCCCCCCACCCCTTGGGTACGCCTATGCACAGTGAGGGGGTGGCCATTCTCTATTCCAATGGACAATGGAATGGTTAGGCCACTTTAGCTATATAGTCAAGGGTAGGCTTATGCACTAAATATTAAATTCACATAAAGTGCTTATAATTTTACCTCTTATGATTCTTAACCCCCCCCCCCCCCTACAGAAACACACGTACGACACGACACATAGCAAAATATTAACATCCTGGTTTAGCTGTATCATTTCGAAACCAACCATTCCGTTAGACAAATAAACAAACAAAACAAAATTCAATAAATAAATAGACCGAAATCAATTATCACCCATTAAGAGAGTATTTAACAGATTGGTGAATATGTCATGATTTATTCCATAATACTATACCCTGTGTGCAGAGTCTAGTTAAACTAGGGAAATATGAAGGAATAAAAATCGTATATTGTCCCCGGGAAAAAATCGTATTGGAGCGTATTACATGAAAAATCGTATTATCACCGGGAATAATCGTATGGGTACGTATCAACATATTTTTGGTTTCCCGGTTATTTTATTAATTTTTTTCCAAACAATGTGCATGTATTAATAAAATGTTTGCATTATCCAAATGTAACATTTTAGAGGAATTTATTATGGAATTAATAGGATATTTCTGGTCGGGATTGAATATGGGTTTTATTCCTCGGAAAATATCATTTTACCCTTCGGTCAATATCATATTGTCCCTCGGAATAAAACCTATATTCAATCCCTCCCAGTAATTAACCTATATTTATCAAGAATTTACGAATAAAAGTGCACATTAGTGAGTTATAACAAACTTGCCATTGTAAAGATGGCAGTTTCAAACACAAGGACGGGTAAATGAAAGTGATAAGAATGATATGGCGACACGATAAAAAGTAGTTATTCACCAGGAGGGATCTGATATGGGGGATATCACAAGGATGATATCAATATTTCCCGAAGGAACGCAGTGACCATGGTCAAGAACGCAGTATTCATGGTCAAGAGCATAAATTATTTTTTGAAAAAATGAAAAATTTCGAATAAAGTTTTTGAATTTACCCGGGATGATATCAATATCATCCCTCTAAACCCGATATCATCCCTGATATCGTCCCTGTTCCAAATATATGATTTATCACTTGCCAGACCCGTAGCCGGGGGGGGGGGGGGTTGCCATGGTATAAATTGAAATACTGAATCGCCAAGGTTATGACAACCCCCAATCTGCCCAGAATACCGACGTTTGTTTTCTTTCAGTTGCAGCTGTCTAGTTGCCCATGACTTCACGATGGTAATGCCTCGATGCAGTCGGTTGGAGCCGGGGTTGGAGCCCGATATTCGGGTGCTGTTTGAAGATTTCTTTCTTTGACTTCCCACGTTGATTTTCCATCTCAAACTGTTGAATCAGATTGCAGTTTGTGCTCACCATCATTTTTTGTAAATGAGCTTAAAACATGATCTAAGGTGTTAGACAATATATCTGGTAATTAATCCACCTACTCAGACATGAAAACGACATAATTGACTGGATCGTTGCGCTATAGTCAACATTTCGGCACCAGTCCGGTGTCAAGCCGGCACCCCCTGGGCAGTTTCTGACAGTGACTGTGAAAACAAAAAAATAAAATTGGCCAATTATCTGTTTATTATTAATTTGGATAAAGATATCGTCGGATCATTTTAAACACTTTGTATAAATATTACTGAATCACAATGCAAATTGCTAAGTGATATTAAGATATGATTGTTGTATAGAGGGCAGAGTTGTAGCAAGGTATCCGTTGTCTATATATGATCGCTCCCCATTATAAAGTAAATGCGCCGACGTGCGGCAATTGATTACACAGTGAACAGCTGACTGTACAGGTCGGTCATCTCAGGTGGACTTTCAATTGGGTGACATTATTCTACAAAAAGCAAATAAAAGCAATTGATATCACAATAAGCTCGAGGATTTTTAACAACAGCTTGATCAGCACGGCGAGCTTTTAAATTTGAAAAGTAATTAATATTTTATTGTATTCAAAATAAAGGGACACTACTTCAACTTTCAATTGTACAAGGCTATTAAAATGCATTCCCAGAGATGCTGTCGAAGCTGCTTCTCATGAAATGGATGGTTCACTCTTGGAGAAATTCAAAAAAGAAGTGGTGAGTAAAATTAAATTAATATGCTTTAGTTTACTATTAATAATTTCAAAATTAACTTTAAGGTATCGAGAAATGATGTCAGTGAGCTGTCGCATAAACAAAACCATAATAGTGTGTAATTTAAACTAATTTTATTGGTATATATATTTTATTGGTATATATATATATATATATCCAGTTTTGCTTCATCAGTTTATTTGGATATTTTGACATCAGTTGTGCATCATGAGAAACCATTGCCTTCTATTAAACGTTCTTTTCTAGTTGAAAAACAGGAAAATGGGATGAGTATCAGAATGTCAGTTTCCCGGGGTCAATTTGTAACATGACAGCGACGACAAATCCAATCATGGATCAAACTAAAATCTTTGAAGCTCAAAAATTACATGGCCTCACATGCATTGAATATACCTGTACCTAACATATTATACTTAAAAGGATTCCACATTAATATTGTCCAAATCACATAAGAGTTGGGATGGGGAAAAATAGTATCAAATTATTTAATTAATATGTATAGTTTTGATTTTGATTAGAATTACATTATGGGATTCCCATTGTAATAATAGCCTAGTGTATAAAATTCCCCGGATAAATTTCCATCTCCGTACAATCGGAATGCAAGACCGAGCGTGCGAAGATTACGACATTCGGGTTTGGAGAATCCAGGTTCCAGATGAATGGCCTACAGCTAGATGTGGGGGTCGGCTAGAATTGAGAAAAATACCGTGCACAATGTATATGGATTAGTTTATCCTACTGAATTAGGAAATCATTTCTGAATCAATTGCAATTTCAAGGAATTAGCTACAATAAAACATTGATTGGATTAGCCTAATCCTATAATCCATTATAACACTTATGAAACAAACTTGCAACACCACTTCGCTAAAAACACAAACACTTTACGGTTTATTGGCGTTTTTAGGAGCATGTTTCGGGTAATCTAATTTTATCGTCTACTTGGTTATCAAAATAGAGCCTCTCATGGTACAGACGAAGTGGAAAATTGTAGTATAATGGGGTTCATTTAATGTTTCATTCCTCCGTAATATTATCTGGTGTAAAAAACATGTGATGTCGTATCGCATGAGGATGAACTTCGTCTAGCCAGAAGAATGTAAGCCAAAATTGCTTGCATAATAGTCCTTCATTTTTGTAACGATCCATCCTTGCTGTAAGGGTTATAGTATTCTATATAAGCATAAATGAAGTCTTTTGAAGAAGGCTGGTAACGATCGTGCGTCTCATGGTTCTAGTATGACTGAATCTCTCATAAAGATAATTTGAATATAGGTAATTAGCAGTTACTCTCACTTTAATCCGTTCAGTAAACTGGCAAAAACACCGGAGAAACGGTAAAAAATATTTGATAATTTCAAACTTGTAATTACAGTTAACTTGTTTGTCCAAAACAAATTATCGAGCGATCCAAAAGAGGTGTTTCAATGACCGTCAAGTAGGATATACTTATCATGTAATTGGTACATCCCAGTCCGATTAATGATAACAATTTCCACGACTTTGATGATTGAAGAGGATCCAACAAAAAGCATTGGAAATACACAAGCGAGTGAAAGTCAGGCGTTCGCCAATGAATGGGATGTTGTGGCCAATTTCTGGGGAATGTACATGTTTGCTGTCCTTGACGATAGCAAACCAGAAATTAAGGTCCTGTGGATTTGAGTCCCCTGTCTTTGTTCCACTGGCAGCCCACACCCAGGGATATTTTCGTAGCATGATATTAAAAATTCAAAGAGTCAACACGTATCTCTACAAGATCGAGATACTCCGGGAGACACTCTGAGTTCTAGAGGCCTACAGATGGAACTATCTTGTGAAGAGGAAAAGTCAAATTTTTGGAAAGTTTCCGTCTCTAATTTATTATTAGAATACATTAACATTGATGACGTGGGTCATAGGATGTTACGAATCAGAACATTCATAAATTCAATGAATTAACTGATAAACTGGATCTTGGAAGCGAAAAGATGGTATGCGTGCCAACTGGGCAGTTGTTGACCAGATAAAACCGATGCCAAGTGAGAAAGGTACTAATTTTTGACAGCTTCCTCCTTGGATGCCCAAATAATGACGACAATCATAATCCGATTGAAATATGGTAGTATAGCGTCCATTCTGGGTGCCGACTCGATCACGTTTGTACGACGGATATAGGCAGAATCCATGCCAAATGATCTACTATTCATTTTACCTCTTATTGCCATCCCGATCGGATGTAGTACCAAAAATTATTTACTCACGAGTACCGCTCATATGTATTGTTACATTACAGTGCAACCCCCACCCGTAGAGCCACGTTTAGCTTAGGCCGCATGCAAAATATAGAAAATATTTTCAGACGTTTTACTTTAATTTACACGGGACCTTTAAGTGTTCTGATGGGGATCCTTTGAGGCACAATGACATTTTTGGCCAGAAAGCCTCTCTTGTCATTTCCTAGCACCGGCATATCAACATACTTTACATACTCTCGAGAGTTCGGGGGATAAAGCAAATATTGTGTTTTGAAAGTATGTCGGGTTTGTTATCTACTGGAATGAAAAGTAGCTATATTTTCAGAAGTTTCAAGTGGACAGGCTGCGTTATCGCCAACATTCTGGTCGCGCAAGTCACTTTTCCCATTATAGGGGCTAAGAGGCATTTAAGAATGATGTATTTTCGTCTGTCCTTTACCTAATCTATTTTAATTTTCAAAAATGCAGGCAATATCGTTTTTTCCTTAAATCGACCGTTGTAGTGATTGTTTCAAATTTTGAGAGCATTCAAATAGGAGTGCAGATGTTTCAAACGTTAATGACAGCCGCGATGTGTCTGCATTCTGCCCATGTTCTACATACAGGCCATTGTACGCAATTGCATCTGGCTCAATCGTTTTTGTATCACAAAAAGTGATAACAAAACATTGAACTATTATTAATGTTAGTTTCAAGGATGCAACAACCAGAATCGTTCAGAAACGTTCACCTCATCATTAACTTATTTGGAATATTCTAAGATACCAATAAGAGATCGCAAGTTCGGCGCTTTAACTGCCTTCAGGTGAGCATATTGACACCTACAAATATGTCTTCGGGAGATAATAACATTATTGTCAAAATTCGATAAAGTAACAATAAAGGGTTATTAAAACAAATATATCTGAAAATAATCGTATTTTAGTTTACACAAAATCAATAGTCATCAGTTATATCGGTGACTTCAAGCCCCCAAGGCAATGTGTGTAGTGTTTTATCTCCCATAGCCGTCCGTAATGATTGTCCGCATATAATAGGTGATTATTGATATGGCCTTTGTTTGACCACAGTTAGTTAACTCCTTGACAGAACATGCTAAATCTGTCAAGAACGACAATTCAATTTCAGTTCAGTTATTTCTAAGTTCATTTGTTATCAGATGATCCTATTGTCAAAGATTATATTCTATCGAGTTCGTCATTATTTAAAATACACCAGACAACTTTTTGACATACTATAGTAACCCGAATCTGACGCCAAGCCATTTTCCTTATAATGATTTTGAGTTTTTGAGTTCCACGATTGCTACCATATAAGCAAATATAAAAAAAGATAAAAAGAAAGGAAAATGAGACTCATACATACTTCCATTAAAATACACCCTGCTTTAAAACCCCAATTAAATTTTAAATTTCTAGCATGAAGGGCTTTAGGCTAACATGCTTTCCATTGGAAATTAAATTTTGCCAAAATTTTTGGGGGAATGTAGATGAACGATTTTTTATTCAATCCTGGTCGGTTCAATATGATGTAATCGCCCTGAAAAGTCCATGTTGTTAGAATCAATAGTTTGATATACAATTTATAACATAACGATTGCGTTTTACTCATCTAAGCACATCTGTCTGTGAGTTTCAATTCATTTCAACCCCTATAAGCCATATCAGCTTAACGCCATCATATGCATTTAACACTGGCAATCAGAATATGGTTATTTGGAAACTTTTCCATACGGCAGCTGCTCTTTTGAGGCTGATGTACAAATATGCTGATTGAATTAGTGTATTATGGCTACTTACTGTAACAATACCATTTGTAAATAGTCATGTCAACAATATGAACAAACAGCCAGCCTTCTGGGGTTTAATTCCAGTTTACTTTGTCTGTAGATTCGAAAATATCAACATTTACTATGTAAAAGGTTTTCATGAATGCTCCAAGGAAGCGGCCATGTTTGATCAAGATCTCGCCTTACCCTGAAAACGTCCTCTTGAACTTTCCCACGTAAGTTACTTATTTTTGCAGCTTTGTAGAATTTGATTGTATTGACAAATGAGTTGGACGATCATAACTCGTGTTGAATAAAATGTTTCTTTTCTATTTGATTATTTGCAGGCAAATATTGCTTTTGCCATCGATTGTTATTAAATTGTAATTAAACGAAAAGAAATATATGTTTCAAAACATTTTTTCATGTGCGAAATAATTGAACACTCGCGAAACGTTTCCATCGGCAAACTGGGGAACCATTGTCCTTGCAAGGGTGTAACCAGGATCCAGAAAGGCGAGGCAAACTTAGAGAAGCGAAGCAAAACTTGAGCCAATCAGAGAATTATATACAAATATAGGACAATTCGAAAAATGTCTTAATACTATTTCTGAAAAAATGTCATGAAAATATTTTTCTGTAAAAGTCGCCTTGACATGTGGCAAAACTTACATTTTTATAACCTACATTTTTTTTCAAATGAAAACGTGATCACTCCAAGGATGAATAATCGTATTTTGTTTATTTGGTTTGAGAGTATGTAGATGACAAAGGTGTTCTAAGAATATAAGCTTTAAGAAATTATCTGTAAGACCATTGAATTTCATTGAGATGACACATGTTCCAAGGTCAAACTTGACGCTGTCCTACAAAATGATGTGTTCATAACTTATAATTATGTTAGCTAGCTAGAAAGTGAAAGGGCGTCATTTGAAACAGACAACCATAAAAATGTTACTATTGATAACTAAGAA